GAGTGCCAAGTATAACAGTGTGCTCTCCTTTTTGTGTGGAGAGCACGTGAATGCTGAACCAGTCCTGGTTGCCTCTCACCTCCAACTTGACATATATGAGCTGTTCCAGGAGTGTTGTTGTCGGGTTTGTTTAATAGTTATTTATTAATTCAATTGATTAAATGGAATTCATAATTATACACATGTTCATAATTTATAAACAAAAGATTAATATCTTTGCATATCTACCATTAGATAGTAGAATAAACTAGAATATACTAGGAGGTATATAAATAAAATATTAACACTCCAATATATATTAACCAAAAACAGGCCCAAATTTAGTGTATAATTAAATATTTAGAATGACATTTTATTTCTATTTTTATGTAGAATTGTCAAAAATAAATAAACTTTCATGCATTTAAATATTTATAAACTTTATTCAAAATTCTAAATACCAGTCCTTTTCAACATCTAAAGCTTCTCTAGTATAAACTAATATAAACTTAGTATTCAACTAAATATCATAACTTAATGTTCCATATTTTCTATTTAAATTGTTATCACACTTTATTATATATTATATTCTAGTATCATAGCAAATGGCACAAATCCAGTAGGCTTGGGCTGTTGGAGCAATTGTGTGGTGGCCTATGATGCCTCCAACATCATACTCTAGAATAAAATTTATAAGTACATCTTTTTATTTTGTTGGATATTCAAGAATCACCATGAGTCTATGACTTAATAAAAGTTGTTAGTGAACAAGGATTTCAAGGGGTATAACATATGTAATTATGAATAAATATATCATCAATATATTGTTATTGTGGATCTTTGGAACTATAAGGAATAAATAAAGGCTCTATTAATGAGTTTAAAGTGAGAGAAGTAAGGTGTGTTATAAAGATCTCCTAGCACAGAAAGAAGGATCAGGTCTGTTATAGATAACTCCTAGCACATAACCCTTATAGCTCCCTACTTTGCACATGTTGGTTGTCACTTACTCCTCACTCACTCACTATAAGAAAGACTATCCTATCAAGAACATTTCTACAAGATTATGTTACATGAGTTTAAATAGGAATTGACAACTAAGAAACACCCAGGTTTTTAGAAGTGAGGCACCAAGTCTCACTCCCTTTAAAACATTCTAAGGAACTCTTTATTCCTATTGCTAATCTATGTTATATACTCTTTCATGATTTGCATACAAGTACCCTTCTAATGGTCATGACTGCATGATGACTCTTGACTTGACCATCTACCACATGGCATATATTAAGAATATTCTAGGGGATCTAGAGTACTCTCAGGAATTGATGGCAACTTGTCCAGCTGATTAAACTTGTGGAGCAGCAAGTCAGTAATTTACTCTTGGAAATCTTCAAGCTAGAGCAAAGTTGTGAAAGCTAAAGGCTTGGTCTCTACATTGACTTACACTCATGAAGAAAGTCCTACTCACCAATAGTAAACTTTTTAAAGTTTAGAAGAGGAGTACCCAATTATATCAATTTATTAAATTGAATGATAGGCCATGAGAGAAGCTGAAAGTTCCCTTTTTAATGTCTCTTTAAAAGAGCTCTCACTTCTTAACTTTCCCATGATTGCCAAAAGGTAACTATATTTTAAAGTGCTCAAGAGCATCTTCAATTAAAGTTTTCCTCACTACTTCTAAATCTTAACTATCATCCTCTTGTGCAATTGGCTTAAACACATTAGAAATGGCTTGCTATCCAAAGTTGCATTGTGGAAGGGTAAAAATAAATCATCCCACTCTAGAGAAGCTAAAGGAGTACTTCAAGTAGAAAGTGATAGTGTGGGCTATGAGGGCAATGCCTCAAATTGTAAACAAGTAATCAATGGCTCTTGATTTGAAATAACTGATTTAGGGCTCACAAAAGTGGCCACAAATGTGGGTGGCAGAGCAAGAGGAACTTGGCGCTAAAGGAAATGCAAGCAGCTAGAACGGCTTGAGTAGCTACAGCTGATGTAGGGATTGGTAGTGGCATTGAGGCTGGGGATTGTGATGGTAGGGAGTGCTTCAAACTAGACCTTGGTTGTGTCAGGGTAAGTAAGCTCTTAGAGCAAGGACAGGGATAGTAATGTGGTGTTGGGATTCCTGGGCAGAAAGGGTGGGCTGTGGCAATAATGCTGAGCACTAGACCTGTCACTTGAGTAGTTGCAGAGAAGCAATGAGTGCAGACAGAAATTGCAAAGCTTCAAGTCATAATTTTGCCTAGTGTTCTTTCAAGGTGGCTGCCTTGGGAATTTGCTACCTCCTCTAGTCTTGCATGGCCTTCAGCACTCCACCACTCATCTTGAAACAGCTGCCAAGCTCCATATATTCTTACAAGTACTCAAGTATTAGACCATCTGCAGCATTTGTACCACACAAGGCCTCCCTACCCAAGATGACTACCCTCACCATTTTCATTGCAATCTAGGCAGCCAAAGTGATCCTCCACAATGTTCCCCTGCTCCAAGAAATGTGATTTATAAGTCCAGCTCTGACTCCTACCCTGGCTGTGGTTATATGGCTTAAGCCATAGTGAGTTTGGAGTAGGTGGCAGATTTGGACCTCCCAAAGGAGAATAGGAAAATGACTGCAGTAACAGTGGTAGAAAATTATATATCATGTGTTCTTTTGTCTTTTTTTGTCTTTGTCTCATCCTATGAAGCACTCATGCTACTATCTGGTCCCATCAATATGATGACTCTACTTGGTTCAGCTCTCCTTGCTCAAACTCTATAGGCTTGGGCATGCGATAGGATTCAGGTAAAAATGACAAACACCTAGGTCTTTAGACACTAAGTCTCACTCCCTCCAAAACATTGTGAGGAATGCTTTATTCTTGTTGCTAATTTATGCTATAGTCTCTTATGATTTGCATACAAATGCCCTCCTTGACCATCCACCACATAAAAATATTCAACAGGAACTCATTGATTCCAAGTTGGAACAACTTCCCACTACCACAAAATTTCCAAGACTACTCCTATCAAAGGGTTAGGATGGATCCTTTCTAACATAGACACAAGGTGATGGTGGTTTGCTAGTGTAAAGATAACTAATTAGGGTTATTGTATTACGGAAGAAGTTGGTTTTACTAGAAGTTGATTGGATGAGATATTTAGATGTTTCACTTCTAGATGTAAGGATGTTTCTTATCTCTCGTCCCAATGTTGTAGACTATTTTATCTTTATTTATCCCCCAAGATGTCTTAGTTTTAGATGTAAGGATGTTATAATGTTGTAGGCTATTTTATCCTTATTTATCCCCTAAAATTTCAAAAATCCATATTAATAGTATATCCAAATCTTATCTCAATCGTATGCACTACACTTCAAAACCAATAATAAGTATAGGATATTTCAATATTGATGATCAAAATGAAGAAGCAATACCACTTCAAACAATAATGAAGAAAGAAGCATACATACAAATAATAAAAGGCAATAAGAAACTAATAGATCATATATGGATAGATATAATATATACAAAAGTAGGAACAGCACCATCATATTGGACAGATCATAATAAACTATATATTATGATAAAAATAATTTTTGTTTTTTAAAAACTAAGTGTTATTACCAATGCATAGCAATTTATTTTTTAAATTATAGATTATTTTCTAGTTGAAAAATCATGATTGGAGTGTCAGTCAAATAATACATTTAACCCAAAACCTATAAATGGAACTTATTTCTAGAAAGAATGGAGAGAAACAAAAAACTTTTGAATTCATAAGCTAAGTAAAAAAAATTTGTTACATGTTGCATGTAGCAATGTTTGGTTTATTTAATAGCAATGTTATTCTTATTTATTAAGCTAATTGATCAAATAAAAGTTTATAACTTATAAACACAAGATTAATCTTATTGCATATCAGATGGTAGAATAAAAAAGAATATACTAGAAAGTGTTTTAAAAAGTTTATAAATTTTAAATACAAGATTAATCTAAATGAATAACTACCATTAAATGGTAGAATATTTTAGAATATCTAAGCATATTCTAGATATATCCACTACCATCCTAGTTTGCTTCCAAAAATTCAGAAAATAAAAATTTGAAAATAAAAAAAGTAGCAATTGAGGTCAAAGCATTTGACATCCCCTAACCCTCCATTCTCTGATGGATTGCCAGCCCCCACAGTCTTATCCCATCACTTATGCTACCAAGCTTGATTGAATCCATCTTAGGGCCAGACTCTACTTATCCATCCACGTGAAACTGTCAAAATTTTCAAAATCATCAACTAGCAGAGCGTCAAAATTGCAGAAAAGGGACACAAGGAAGAAGAAGATACAATCGAGCTCGGTAGCACAAAATGATGGAGCAGGACTGGGGGCTAGAAATCCTGTTGGGAGCAGAGGGTGCAGGGATGTCAAAGGCTTTGATTCTGACTGGTGTTCTACTAGTTAATGTAGCAAATTCTGAATCTTGACTTCTTTCCCAGGGTCCATCCATGGATTTGACAGGAATAGCTTGGATGTGGGCTGGGGTTTTCAGAATCAACAACCCTGTAGCAGAAAATGGGAGCGGGCGGGTAAGAAAGTTTCCCACTTTCAATTGGTGCACAATTGCAAGGAAGATTGTACACCTCCATTCTTGCTCATCATGTTTCAGACCATTGGGGCTGCACTTTGACTAAGTAGAATAGAACACATCTCTCGCCCTTCCTCCCTCATGTATACCACTGGTCAGTTAAATAATACAAGCAGCCTCAAGAAGATGATTTTGCTAGTTATGATTCATAACTTCCATTCCAGGATCACCAGGATCTAGCATCCAGAGAAAATAAAAAATAAAAAATAAAAAAGGTAAGCTGCATACTTATAGAGATTGAATCTTCTCCACTACCAAGTATTCTGAGTGATGAAATACTTTTATGGAAGAGGCAGTTGTTGTAGTACTTTGAATCAAACAGACAACAATAGACAATGTCGCTAAACCGGCAACTTCCTTGCAAAGCTAAATTTCTTGCACGTAATTGCAGCTCTCGGCATGAAAGTCAATGATCACACATCCCCATCGAACTTTTTACTGATTCTAGTCAACGCATATAATACCACCCGTTGACTCTTATAGGACGGGTGCCAAAAGTTCGTAGCGAGTCGCCCAATCGAGAAACGATGGAGAGCGCGTTCTAAAAAATATTCAAGCACAGCATCTACGCACAAAGAAGGTAAACAAGAGAAACCAAAAACTAGAAGAGATCTCGTGTACCATTTCGGAGTTCACCGGCGATAATCACCAGCGTTTTGCTGTCGCAGAGCTTTTCCAGAGTGTCGAGAAGATCTTGGACAGCTTTCTCGTTGTAAATCACATCCGAAGCAATCACTGGCAAAAGAAAGAGAGATTTCCAACAAAAAGAGAAAGCAAAAGGAATCTGAAGAATCACCATAATCTGGAGATGGATCGATGACCTCCTTGTCTATTTCATCTCCCCACGAAAGCTCTCTCACACAAGCGGAGCCTCTAGCAGCAAAGCAGCTCACGTTCTCGTCCACATTTTTCTGGAGAAGTCTTAAGCGATCCGGCAAGTCCGTGAGAATGACTCTGGCACCGAGAAGCGCTGCAACACATCTGATATACATAAAACCATGAGATGAAATTCACCCAAGAACAAATCTAAAGTTACCCGGCAAGGCCGCATCCAGCTCCGAGCTCCACGCATTTCTTCCCTTGGAGCTCAAGCATCCCGCTATCCACAGCGTGCTCTAGAAATTTCGTGAGGATTACGGCCGAATCCCACACCACCGCGCCTGTCACACCTGGTTTTTGCTACGATACAAAGAAATCTTCTTAGCTCCCAAATTACTCACAGATCAGCTTACCATCGAAGACCGTGCCTGATGGATCAAATATCATACCCAGCGGCAGAAACGTGAAACGAAGCGGATCCTGCTGGACAAACGCATTGTGCCGTGCACCGGTCGGCTGCTGGAAACACCAAAACAAGACCGTCTCCTCCGGCCCATTCCTCACGGCGAAGAGGGGCACTCGATCCAGATTCTCGAACCAAACCTCTTCCTGGCCATCGCCATCGCCATCTCGCTCCATCCCTAAAACCCTAAGGGCATTTTGGCGGGCAACGCATATTCGCCTAAAGAAATATGCCCTTTTTGTCGCTCGCGGTGTCAATATGCTGTAAGAAAGAAGGGGAGAGAGAAAGAGCTATGGTGGCAATCCCTTGGTTTTTTTTCTTCTATTCTCTTCCTTTTTCTTGTTAGGGTTTGCCACTCGTCCTAGGGCTCGCGCCGCGTGGGCGGCGCCACGAGGAAGACCAAGACTCGTCCACCGCGAAGAATGCGACCGAGGATTCCTCGATCTTTGTCCCGGTTTGTGTAGATTAGATGCAAGGATGCGCTGCGCCGCTCTCGGCAATGGATTTCATGCCGCCATCGGCTGCTGCTGGCAGCCGGATAGAGGCGGCGGCGTGGAATCGCCGGGTAGCCGTCCAAAATCGGGCGCATTGGAGGCGAAATATCTCACAGCGGTGGAGATTTCTAGAGAAGGATTGTGTTCTTGGGGCTAGGAAGTGGCTGAATGGAGGGAGCTGGACAGGAGGAAGAAATGGGAGGATGGAATCGATGTTTCAATGTCGATTCCAAGGGAGGACGACCCAGCGTACGGCGGATAAGAAAGGAAAGCTTCTGGATAGTGACGAGCCAATCTCGCTTCCAGTGGCACTCCTCTCGGTTCCACTGGGACTCGAGGCTGGTTCGTGGATTACGTCCGAGGTGGTCTCCAGCTACATGTGGTTTAAAGTGGTTCTCCGGCACGTCTTTCCACTCGCCATGACCATGGGAGCTCTCGAAAACTCTTCCGAGCTTCTGGAGCTTTCGTTGGATTCATCCCTTGGCCGAATGGTGCTGTGGAAGAAGCGCCAGAGCATCAAAGCTAGACAGAGGAGGAGGTCCTACGGTGCAGCCGCGGAGCCTGTTCCAGCCGAGAAGAAGATTGCCGGTTACTTGCCCGTGATGTCCAGTGCTTCCTCGTACGTCTGGTGTCCGCCGTCGCAGCAGCTCTTACTTCCAGCTCCACCGACATGGTCACTTCTAGTGGCCATCGAGTCTCTGTCCAGCGAGCTCGACTGCTACGTCTCTCGTTTCAAGTCCGGCATGAAAGCTCCGGACTGGTGGGATGACATGGGTGAAACTTACGGAGTTTCGTTACTCGTGCTCATCGGCATGGGTTACTGGGTGCAAGGATTTCGATGCTTCCCTTGGCTGGGGATGAACTATTACTTCAAGGACGGACTCCAGCTCGACCCGCTAACTCTCCAGTTTCTACAAAATACCGTCAACCTCCCGTATCTCGCCAAGCCAATCTACGGCATTATCTCTGACTCGGTCTACATTCACGGTGCTCATCGCGTGCCTTACATTATCATTGCAGGTATGTTGCTATCTTGCTAGCTTTTAGATATTTTGCTTTCGGATAGATTTCTTACGAGCTTGTTTTGCAGGAATATGTCAAGTGATGTCATGGGGAACAATCATAGCAGTGCCAGGGGCTAGAAGGTCTGCCGGAATGCTCACAGCGTTTTTAACGTTTGGCAACTTCGGTGCTGCGGTAGCCGATGTAGCCAACGACGCTCTCGTTGCCGAAGCTGGGAAGAAGAAAGGCTGCACTGGTGGACAGCTCCAGTCTTTCGCGTGGCTAGCTTCAGCAGCGGGTGGTCTCCTGGGGAACCTCTTGTCCGGCCTTGCTCTCAGCGGCATGGACTTCGAGAGCATGTTCACGATCTTCGTCATGTTCCTCGTGTGCCATCTCGCCATCGCCTTCATGGTCAGCGAGCAATCCTTCGGGCAGCGGAAGAGAGACGCCGGCAAAGGCAAGGTGGTCGCCTTCCCAGGAGGACCAAAGCTCGGGAATCTCATGAAGGGAGCAAAGGCCCGGGAGATGCAAGTTAAAGCTTACAGGAGCAACAAAGAGCTGCTCAAGAGCCAGGACGAGGACAAGATAACCGAGAGCCGCGAGCCAAAGGCCGTCGACATCCCCAGGCAGGTATCAAAACTCTTCGGCCTCGTCAAGTCGCCCGAGATCCTCCTGCCGCTGCTCTGGTTCATGGGATCCTACGCAGTCATCCCGACGCTCTCGGGGACCATCTTCTACTATCAGTCACAGGCGCTCAAGATCAACCCGGTCTACCTCGGCGTGGCCAAGATGCTGGGCCAGGCGGGGCTCCTCGCCGGAAGCATGCTCTACGAGAGATACTTGAAGCCGGTTCCACTGCGAAGGCTGGTCGGCTGCGTCCAAATCCTCCTCTCGGTGTGCATGCTAGCGGACATCGGGCTCGTCAACCGGATCAATCTCCAGCTTGGCATCCCGGACCATTTCTACATTCTCGGGGCCTCGGCGTTCGTGGAAGCCATCGGCCAGTTCAAGATACTACCATTCATGGTTTTTTTCGCAAAGCTTTGCCCGGCGGGGTGCGAGGGATCGCTGCTGGCCTTCTTCATGTCGTGCCAGTGCCTGTCGTGCATCGTGAGCGGCTATCTTGGGGTGGCTCTGGCATCGTTCCTGGCGATCAGTGCCAGCGATTTCACGCAGCTGGGGGTTGGGATTGTGGTGCAAGCGCTGGCGGCGCTGGTGCCACTGCTGGGATTAAGTTTGCTGCCGGGTGGAGAGATGGAAGACGAGGAAGAAGAAGAACAAGAGAATGGTGCTGCTAAAGTAGAAAAGGTTATGTGAGAAATTTTGCATTGTTGTAATATATTTATATCAAATCAACAGGTTAACATATTGATCTCAGAAATTCCTTTATAACAATAAAACCTAACAGAATATGCTAACAGAATATATTCAGACATTGTTAGTTTGACCAAAGCATACAATGTATCATTTTTCTATGATTGGTTCTGATTGGCAATAAAAAGTTTCTTCTTGTCAATCAACTTGGTAAGGTTAGCTTCACCAATGTAAAGATTTTATTTTCTTCCCACAGCAATATATAAACCCACCTATCTGTTTACCATCTCAGAAGTTCGAAGGTTGCTTTTCAATTGTAATGGCATCCCAGGTTGCGCTTGTTTTGGCCCTCATTGTTGCTCTCTTTGCTTCTTATGCATCTGCAAACTTGGTAAGTAAAGTTTAAATTGTAATAGATTCTAAATCTTCTATTCCAGTGCAAGAGCTACACCATCCAAGGTTCCGCCCAGTTTGTTCTTGGCCAAAATGAGTTCCAAGTTGTTCCAACCGATGGTCCCATGGATCGTGATGGGTCCGTCCAAACATTTGCTGCTCCTCTTACTGGAAACTCGGGATGCATCTACCAAGGTGTGATTGCCGACACTGGAGCTCTGGATTTCCAGGTTTCCCAGCTCAAGTGTGGGAACAACCGGGTGGAGTTCATGGGTGATGCTGGAGCTTCTGCACCTGGTTCTTCCACCACATATGCGATTGTTGGCGGCACTGGCATTTATGTTGGAGCGATTGGAACAGTGACTGAGGTTTCACTAGGTGGCATGAACTATCAGGTCACCGCAAACATCAAGGTTTGCAACCAGTAAATTATCTTCAAGATGATTTATAACTTCTAACAACAATATAATAACATGAATCAAAATTTTAAAGTGCACTTTGCTCATCAAGATGAAAAAAAATAGCCGAGGAGAGGGTTGAAATCTTCTAAGAATTTACTTGGTACTCAAACACCTCTTGAACACAAAAGCTCATCTAGTTTAACTGTTTAAATAACAACGTTAACAATAGTACGTTTACATTCACAGCTTGCGAATGATCCTTGCGTCTCCAATTCGATTTCCTTCAGTTCTGATAACTTCCTTCCGGATAAATCTCTGTCCTGAGGAGGAATGCCAGTGCACTCCATCACTTTCAGCAAGCTCGCTTGCAACAGCCACAAAATGGCCTTCAAGGAGAAAAGCACCAGACCGAATGGCAGTGGTACTGGTACCGCGAACGGATTTACCTTCAAGAGCAACGAGCGTGTCCAGAAGAAGAGGTGAAGCTTGTTTGCTAGTTGCTAGCTTTTTCTATGGAGTGGTGTTGATCAGTTCCAACCCGGCAACGTCCGTATTGTGAAAGTGTTCACTGTTTCTTCAACTGGTGATTCAAGCCAGATGGTTCGGTTCACTGGAATTGGATGTTGCAAGTCGTCCAGCTTTTCGACTTCGACCACCTCCCCAAATTTGGTAGTCCGACCTTCTGACCACCTCTCCAAAGTTGAAACTCCGACCCTCGTTGAAACCTGGAGAAAGTGTTCTGGGTATAACATGGGTGCACCATGCTGTGAGACGGGTGGCCACTGTCCGTAATCTGCTTCCCTGCTGCTTCTACTGTCTGAACAGAATTCAAGCTAGCGACCAGGGAATCCAGATCGAAGTGCGCCCACCACATTGAGTGATCAAACTCATTTTTGCTTCAAACTCAAGCTTCCAGCTTCATTCTGGCACTTACCCATGAATTGAATAGGATCAAATACTTCCTGCCAAGCTAGAGCAATCTCGGCAGCAGACCAAACAGGTAGAAACACCTGTGGAGTGCGGGCATCCTTATAAAACTCCTGAAAGTCTATCAACTTTGGGCTGGCTACCAATAGAACCTTGCACTTTAGTAATGGCTTGCCGTCCACAAGCCAGTACAGTTCCGGATCAAGGAGGACGCCCTTGCTGCTGCCAAGAGCGAAACATCTGTCGATACATGCCATCTTCTCAGCGTGCTGAGGTTCAAAGAGATGACCACTCTTGCTCTGAAAAGCCACCACCTTCCTGTCCTTAGTAGAGTTGTAATGAGAAAGGCGTGCTGTTGCCAATCCCAGGCACCCCCAACAGCAAAACCGACTTGCACCCTTTCCCCATCGCTACGAGCTTCTTACGGAGATCAGTGTAGCACGGCCGCTCCAAAATCCGAGTAGTACCACTTGCACACCAAAGAGCCTCCAGAGGAATCTGAGATGCCTCAGTTTGGAAGTCAAACAATGTTGTAGTCAGTAGTTAAATCTTGTTGGTGAATGAATGCAGAGAAACTATGCCTGAAAGAACTGACAATCTCCCTGACTAAGTGCATCTCGTTGCTGAACGTCGCTGAAGCCTTCATGAATGAGAACACAAGAAACTATGTCAAAGAATCAGAACACCCACCAGATTTGCATCATGTTGGTTAACTCGAAAATATAGGACTGAACCCAGTTTCAGAGTGACGGGTCGCTCCTCGCACTCAAGATTCATTTCCACTCTTCAATCATTGCATAGAAATGACTAAGAGAGAATGAGGAACACAGAGCTGAAAGTCGTTACCATGGTCCTTATCCATGTCGAGCAAAGGCATGACATATTGCGATATGCGCCTTGCCGTATTTCGTCCAGCTTGTGAATCCAAGCTCTTTCAGCTTCTTGCCATGGATGGAAGGGTACCTTGATTTCAGAAATTCTTCAAACTCTCGCTCACTGACAAAACTTAGTTTACATTATTGAAGGGCTTAAACTTACAGTCAACAGCAAATCAATTTTCTTGACTGGGAATTACCCAGCAAATGCTGGCTAGATGAAGAGTCCGACTCTACACATTAACAAAAGTTGCGGGAAGATTCAAAGTTTGTCTAAGAATGTAAGCTCAAACAAAAGCTCACCATTTTACATCCACAACTCCAACATACTGGTATCTTCCTCTAGCCATGCTACCTCAACAATCTAGACCACGTGGAGGCCTACACCAGTTTCCAGTCCCAGCCAATATAGGCATGGCAATCTTTTATCCCGATTGGACCAATGAAAAACAAAAAGCTCTTGCTTCTTGATCTTGTTGGGTCAGGCTACTTAACTAGCTGCGAGATTAGGTTGGAACAGTGGAAATCAAAAGTGGCTGTATATTCAAAGTTTACAAATACAAAGTTGATTTATACAATTACCTGGAGGCCTCACTGTCACCCAAGTCAGAATCTGCCATTACATGAAAGCCACCATAACCTCGCTGCTTGTTAAAGGACTTATTTAACAACCAGAATTCCATCTTCTTCCCTGTAAACCCTTAGGCCTCCAAAAGAGTCTGAACTCCATCCAAACTGTGCCTGCCATCAAAGTTGTGCATGCCTATAGAACCTTGAATGATGACATCACCTGGGAAAAGATTTAAAACAAGAATAGTCGAAAATAGGAATCAAGAAACACTCCAGCAATGCCGAGCACTCTCATCGATCAGACCTTGAGCGGCGTTGTAGCAGAGCCAAGATGGCTGCCAATAGCCTAAGCGCTCATGTTGCTTATGCGTGTGCACCATGGGGCAGCAAGGGACACATGGACCGATCTTGAAAAAGAAAAATCCAATCCATGCAAAATGGAATTAAGATCACTTGCTGCATGGCACAATTTCCCGGGAAAATCCTAAAAAAGCACCCTTGATTGCTGTGATCCATGGTCAAGATCACTTGTGGCCAGGAGATGAATTAAGATCCACTTAGCATACAAACCATTGTTGAATTATTTACTCTAGGTACAAAGAACACGTAAAGATAACCTCCCCATTGTGCATGGCCTTTGCTCAAGGAGTTGCTCACTACTTCCCAAACCACAGAAACCTGCAATCAATTTGAGAGAATAAGCTAGGGCACCAAAATTGCATTGCACCTGGGCATTCATGCCCATGCAGCCGATCATTCAACACCAAGAGTTGAGGTGAGGGAGTGAGGAGGTGAGGAAGTGCACCAGCGATGTAAATTGTTAGGAAGAGCTGCGCTATGTTCGGCAGCAGGCTAAGATCCACATGGAGATTTTGATTTCTGAGATAAAAATCTCCAAAAGCAACCTTGATCGCTCCCTTGGTGGATTCCATGCTCCTGCAAGAAGTGTTTTGTGTCAGAGAGAAAGAGCCACTCGAATAAACAAATGGGCACACATGGTATACCTGTCAATTCCCCTTCTTCCCCATTGGCAGCCAAAACTTCCTCCCGATTTTTCCTGAGAGCATAGCTTTGCCCCAGCTCAGAACCTGAAAATTGAATTGATTTTGCATCCTCTGCAAGAATGGAGAGATCTTATTCGTAGCTGGGGCGTCCTACAAAGATGAGCAGAAAATTCTTGTGCAGCATCTGAGAGATCCAAGCAGTCTCGAGTTCTATAACGCCCAGATGAAGTGGATGCCTTCAGTTATGTGGCTGCGCCCAAGAATACGCCAGTAGTGAATGGTGATTGGTGGCGGATTATATGCTATGGATTGCAGGTGGAATGCAATAAGGAGCCAACATATTTTAGAATATATGTGGCTTGGAACTTGTTGTTAGGAGCTTACAGCGAACACTCTTGCCCCCACTCATTGCACCTGCACCAGCTACTGCTGTTGGTGTCATTGAAGGCCAACTATTGAGCATTGTAGATTGCCACATCCGCAAATCCATAAACGATCAAGATTTTGGAGGAAGAACTAAAGAAAACTGTTTCCAGTTGCAAAAGCTGCAATGATGACCAGACATGAGAGGAGCAATGCAAGCACAAGCTTTCAAGTAGGAGACATAATTTCTAGAGAGCCAAGAGAAAAGAGGAGCAAATAGACTGAGCAAACAAAGGGGGCAACCTCCCATAGATAAAGCTTCAGAGCACAAACTCACACAAAAGCTCGCACAGGCTTTTGGTAGTAGTAGCACCTTAATGTGGATAACCATGGTTTGACCACCATCATCGGAATGATCTACACAGGTTTTCAATGCTGATCAAAATAGATCATGAAAAGATGAACACTGGAGCTAAAGAAAATTTGGAGCAGAGGCTTGTCTGTTGGATTCTTTCTCAATTGGCAAACTTTCAGCTTCAGTGACTAAAATCTGCTTCACATCCAACAAAAGCTATTGAGCTCTCCCTAGATGTAGTGAGTGCCATCCAGGCCTCAGATCGGACGGCTGCTGGAGTATATAGATTCTATCAATTGGCCTTCACCCTTGAATTTTGAAACAAATCTTCATCCCATAATGGAACATAAAAGTATAAAGAACTGAGAACATTGAATTCTGGGCTCGGAGAAAATCTTTCTTGGACCAATTTGGTTCTCTCTCAAATTGCCTTCTCTCCACAGCTCAGAATAATTGAAAATCACCAAGCCTATACAGCACACTATACTCCATCCTTGAATTTTATCATGGAGAAGTTTATTTCATAGATAGATTCCTTTGCTTAGCATGCCCACATCCCTGCACAAGGCTATTGACTCTCCTTGATATACAAAACATTCAGCAACTTTGCAAAGAAAAGTCTAATAGACCTTCAATTCACCTGCTTCTAAAGCTGAAGTTACCTTTCTAGTTAAAGAGTGAAAAATCACACAGCTCCAACAGAACCCAAAACCATTTTGTTAGTGGCCATTGGTCCTAAAAAAGAATTGTGGTTACAGAAAGAAACAAGAAGAATTTCTTACTGGAGGATATTTTCTTAAGCATAGCTTCTCCACCTGTAACTTGGCCTCATTTCCACGCAGACATAAGTTCCCCAGTGACTACTGATGGGACACTAGGGAAGACCCTGACAAATTAGAAGCTCAAAATTCAGTGTACTTGGAACCCTCACCCGCATCTCTGTAGCTTCTCTCCACCACCTGGCAGACAGCAAATCTGCAAATCTAAAACTCCGCTTTCATAAATTGAACGTGCGAGATCTCTGCCCTGCCACAGTAATATTGCTGACTATTGCTGAGTATGCGACGGAACCCTAGAGTAGACACTTGTCACATTGCTTGTGCCGTCATCCCATTGGCTGCGAAAACATCAAGCCGCGGCTGGCTCGGGCCTCAAATTGGACGGCTGCTGGAGATTGGGCACTAGAGTTTTAGTATTATAGACAAGCTTTCAGAGTAAGAGCCTTAATTTCTAGAGAGCCAAAAGAAAAGAGGAGCAAATAGATTGAGCAAATAAAAGGGGCCTATCAAACCTCCTATAGATAAAGCTCTCACAAAAGCTTGCACTGACTTTTACTCCATTGGCAGTAACATGGATAATCATGATCAGAAAATATCATTAAAATACGAACATTGGAGCTAAAAAACATTTGGAGCGGAGGCTTGCCGGTTGGGTTCTTTCTCAACTGGCAAACTTCCACAGTTAGTGACTCAAATCTGCTTCACATTTCTAAACTCTCCCTGATGTAGCGAGTTCCAGAAATTTGGAACTCCAGGTCCCCGAGATTACACCAGCTTATTGTGCCAACAGCTGCCACTCATGCATTAGAGCAAACCCCTGTCTTCCCTCCTGGGCCAATTGTGCATCCTATTATACTTTTGAAACTCACTAAACCCTTAAATGTTTAAGAAATGATTGTTTTAAGCTTTAGACATGGGGCTTTCTCGTTTTTATATATATAGATAAATGTTTTATATCCTATAATGATATAAATGTCAGAAGTGGGATTTGAACCCACGCCCTCGCGAGAGGAGCAGAACTTGAGTCTGCCGCCTTAGACCACTCGGCCATCCTGACATTTGATAATAAATATATCAGAAACACGAATGAAAATATCCTGATTTATGATTTCTTCAAGAAGGGATTTGGATCAGGATTCTTCAATAGCAGCGGAGTTGGCCTCTGATTCTCTTCTACCTCCCTCAACAAATGGATGATGGTCATGATTATAAAGCCCCTCCTTCTTAAGGCTCCTAATATTTCACTCTCATGGATCTGAAGTTCTGCTCGTGTTCATGGTCTTGCAGCTCTGCTGGAAATGAGGCCTTGGGATGCCCGGCATTCCAGGAGGAGCAGCAGTAGCTCCGGGAAGAGGTGGCGGAGGCGGCACAAATTGACTATACACGTCTTTAGGAGTGTACGTCAGGGAACGGAAGGTGCATTGCCATGGCAGCGGCCGCAAAGGAATACCAGGTATTCAAGCGACACCATTGGCATTGCCATGCCAACGCTGGCGTCAACAGCACCTCGAGCACCCAGGAATGAGCTCCCCAAGCTTGAGGCCTCCATCTGAACTGATCCAGATGCTCGTCCCAGTGGTGCCATTTGCTCGTTAGAGGCCAAGACAGCAGACGTGCGTTGTACTTGTCGCGAGTTATCACCACGACACCAGAACTTCATGGTGTGGTTGCTGCATCCGCTGCTCAGACGACAAAGCCACCGCTAAGAACAAGAAAAAAGGTGTGTCATAGAACATCCAACAACACCTGCAAAGTGGCCCATGGGACGCCATGGCAAATCCAGAATGTTGTTGTCGTGAGCATTCGAGACTTCTGCTTGAGGTTGTTCGTGCCTAAAACAACAACGTCCATGTGTAATCAGAATTGAATCTCATGAGGTGGTAACATACCCAACGAGCCAGTGTATAATGCTGCTGTCATGGCTTCTGCTCACGAAGAGTTCCTCGTGAAAAGGATGCCACGCCAATGCTGCACCAAAATCAAAACGTAAGAGCACTCTAACTCATCCAATATACATGTTACTTCGTTCTTAACGATTTGTCTCGATATCCTCAAGGTTCGGATGTCAAACAGCTGAGAAAGAGGGGGAAAAAACAAGAAAGAGGCGTTCAGTTCACTTTGTTCACTTAGCTTGATTACTTGGTCTCTTCCTGTGATTTAGATTAGCGACCGCTATTTCACACACTACACACGTCCTTCGCACTTGCGATGAAGATATCATGATATTAGTTGTAAGCACCTAAAGGCTTATCAGAAACGAGGAGAGACTTTTGTGGATGCCAATCCACGCTCTTGACATCCCAGCCGTGAGCTGTACAGATCCAAACGTATAAGAACATAAAGAACTAGCTTACATCGACATACCTGTTAATGTCTTGACACCAGTATATATCATCATTCACCACCAAAAACGAGAAGCCAAGCTTGTTTTCACCTGGAAGCATCTCTCTCTAGAAAACTGTAGAGAATCAGCCATTTGTAGTAGATAAATAAATGTAACATTTGATTAAAAAAAATCGAATCAATATGGGAGTGACAATCAGATGCCATGCACATTCTTGGACCTTATATAAAGGGGCCAAAAGCTGCACTGATTAACGAGCAATCAGCACAGTTTCACCATGAATTCTGCTTTGGTGTTTTTGGTGTTTGTATTTGCCACATTCCAGATTGCATTGTCTTCTTCAAGAAGGGAGATCTTGTCTGATTCTTCAACAGCAGCGGAGCTGGCCTCTGATTCTCTTCTGCCTCCCTCCAAAATGGATGATGATGAAGCCCCACCTCCAAAGATGGATGATGATCATGCACCTCCTCCCCCTTCAAAGATGGAAGATCATGACCATGATCATAAGGTTCCTCCTCCTCCTGACCATGATCATAAGGCTCCTTCTCCACCAAAGATGGATGATGGTCATGATCAGCTAGCTCCTCGTCCTCCAAAGATGGATGATGATGATCATGATCAGCTAGCTCCTCCTCCTCCTCCAAAGATGGATCTAGCTCCTCCACGCAGGCCAAAGAGGATGGGGAACAACAACAACAACAACATCAACATAAATATCAACTTGGATAAAAAACGATCATGCTAGATCAACGCGAGGAGAATAATTACTCTTTTAGATGGACTCTGTCCATCTTTTGTATTTGCAATTAAAGATAAATAATTAGTTTGAAACACGTACTTAATAATGAAAGATTTCGTTCAAAATTACATAGAACCACCGCGGAACTACTGGAGGAGTTTGGGGAAAAGAGAATCTTTGATTTGGTGGCGTATTTGTTCAATCGTTCCCTGTGGAGCCAACGATCTCTACGCCGGTGAAGGAGCTCCCAAGAGAGTCTACCTCAAGTGATGCAGCAGAGAACAAGGACGAGCATCGCAACATCGACACGTTTCTCGCCACACTCAAGTACATCATGTAAAGCTCCTGTGACTATCGAAGCGGGAGTGGTGAAAACCAGAAGAAAGCTAAAAAGTGCTAGCCTGTGCATGTATAATTACGGTACTTACAAGGAATTTACGAAAAGTCCCTGCCCTTCAGAACAAAGACACATACCATTGTCCAAACTGCAATAAGATGGTGATCAGTAAAAATCGATTTGATAAGAGAATGTAGTTGCTCACTATATACTGCCGCAGCGAGCCATTCGTTTATGACTTTCACCCAAACGCTTGCCCACCCGACGTCTATGCTCCACCTTGAATTCACACACAAAGGACACGAAGCTTATAGAGGAACGAGCAGAGATTACTTACCTGTGCATTGTTTGGTGAAGGTTCCAGCCAACGAACAGCATCGCAAAGTACATCGCACCCATCGCAAAGACGAAATGAAAGAAACCATAGCTGTATGGGATATCATTCTCGGATGTCTCCTCTTCACTGTGTGGTAGCTGTAGAAACGAAAACATTTTTAAAAATGTGAAAATAACTCGAGAGGTTAAAAAAGTGGATACCGCAAGAGATTTCGAATCTATTCCGGTAGAGAATGTAGCTAGGATGATTGCAAAGAACGCTATCAGAAAGCTCTGTAAAAGAAATAGACAAAATCAGAGAAGAAACTGAAGATATCTGGACGTACCAAAACAGTTAGCCAGTCAGCCTTCCCAGTTTGTCGTGATCGCGTATTGCAAAGCTCAGAAGCAGGTTCACTACGAAAAAACAAAAAGAGAAATAAGAAAAAAAAAAAACGGGAAAGAAAAAAAAATGATACCTCATAATTGCTGACCAGCAGAGAAACACTAGATACAGTGAAATCAACCCTGATGTCAGCAATCCCGCATTGACCTGGAAATTATACTTATCAGAAAAACAAGCCATTGAAAGAATTTCACAGTACTTTCGAATGAAGGGAGATGGCCGTCACGACTAAAATGAGAACGAAAGTCCATGTGATGAAAAAGATATTGACGCCGCAGGACGCCCGTGGAGAGAACCAGACATACATCAAGATGATGCCTATGAATGAAAGTATATACGAGCCCACAGCAATCACGACCAGCGGTATTTGGCTGCAAAGAAAGGTCGTGTAAGTCCCAAAACAGTACACAGCTTGAAAATTACCAGCGTCGGACGTTATGCTCGGAGAGCCACTCTTCGTTCCACCAGTATATAAAATTGATGACACTGAGGAGCTGGATAACGAGAAAAATTCTGTAAAACGAGCAGTTTTCAGCGTAAAATGAAAACGAAAAAGCTTTCCATTGCACTTACCCAGCTCCAAACCTGGCCATTTCACCTGCAAAGCAAAATTGATCCATCGCTTCTAGAAGAAGAACATTAAATTCACTTACCATACATTTGAATGAATGCGGATGGGATGAAAAATGGGAGCACCATCACGATGATCCAGAAGAGGCTCTTAATTGGCCACCAGCCTGAGTGCCAAGCGTCACGGGGGTCGTCGGGTTTAGAAGTTCCCACAGTCGTCAAATACATTGTGAAGAAGAACACCTGATGCTAAGTTAAGGAACAGAATAAAGGCGAGGATAGAAAATTTTCAAAGGATACGAAGCATCCCAGGCTCACTCGTAGAACACCCTCACTGCCCAAACAATCGTGTCCTCCTTGGCATCCTTTCAAGTCTAGAAAGAAAATCACAAGTATTAGTTCGATCGTCAGCTCGGAGGACACACACTTACAATGCAAAGAAGCCAATGCGTCATGGCTGTAGTCCCGGATCATCCAGGCTACCACAGTGGTGAGCAAGAAGATTATGGCGTAGATGTAGCGGGCATTCATCCGGCTCGGGCCGATACACGACTTGGCCAAGCAGCTCTCGGCCACAGACTCGAAACATCCCCGCGCCATGGATTTCTCCCCAGGTTCTCAGATCATCCAGCTCGCGAAGCCGAAATATCGAAATCCGCCACGCCCCACGGCCTCCTGTGACAATGCAGGCCCGGCATTCGTAGAAACGATCAAGATTTCACACAAACCTGAGCGATCGGCAAGGGGTCGACACGAGCGCCTAGCGATCCAAGCGCGAAATCATCCGTGCGCGCCGCCTCGCGAAGAAGGGAATGCCCTAAGACCCTCCACAAAGAGAGCGTGAGGTAAGAGTACGGAAGCCTCCAGTTTCATCCTTTGCCTCACTGGGCGTGCGCCGCAAGGGAGTCTGGGCATGAACCATGTGGCCCAAAAGGCCCGCGATCCGACGGCCGGCGTGGATCTTGGAGGCCGTACGAGCGCAGAGATCTAACGGTTGGAACAGTTGATCCAACGTTCTTTCGTTCAAAACCTATTTAGCTATATGATTAATTAATGGGTGTTTATCTAATTATTTTTGAACTAATCTACATCACTAATGTAATCAAGCTTATCAATTAGTGACTTTGTATGCAAAACTGGATGAAACCATCTCTCTCAACCTCAAGAATAAAAAGAATTTGATCAAGACCAATCTTCTTTGTCCCTGATCCACTTCGTGGCGACCCATTTCTCGCCTTTAATCACTGGACAGCTCCCGTGCAATGCAGTCTAACAACGGCGACAATATATCAGTGGCGATTTCTTCGTTTTCGATCGACTGACCTTGTCAAACGTTCCATTCGGGAACATGGAATAGAAGAGCAAAGCGTCGCCTTGCTTTGGCTTCACCTTCAAACCGATGCATTCTTTGTAGTCGTAGTTCTCGTTCATGTGCTCGTAATTCTAGACATGGAAACAAGAGTCATGGATTCAACAGCTTGAAGGCGTGAAAGCAGCGGTACCTCGAAAGGAAACATCGTCTCTCCGCCTTCTTCAACGTCTGAAAGATACAAAAGAAAGGAAGCCATCTGCATAAGAGAAACGTATCAGCTTGAAACTCCAAGCTGAGACGACGGCTTACGCGTTGGCTCTTCTGAGGTCCGTATTCCGCAGGATTGAAAACGTCATAGTGGCTGTTGTATTTCTGTCCGATCTCGTAGCGAAGAACATTGAAAGCCTGCAAAGGTTTGCTTTGAACTAAAACTCGTCTTTTCATCGTTTGTCTGTTTACCTCTCCGTGTGACTTGGGGATCATGGTGGCTTTAGCCATTTTTTCCTCCACCCAGGCCAGTGTGCCCGTCTTGTCTTGCCTGGAGCTCAAGAAGCAGCCATGACTGCCTTACATGACAGGAAAAACTCGTCTCAAAAGCTCGAAACCGCGCCGGCAAAAAGAAAAGAAGGAAGAGAAGATAAGAACCTTGTTCTTACGTCCTGCGTCTCCGTGGCCGTCTCTCCCTTGCGAAGAGCAAGTGAAGATGGCGTAAGCTTCGTCTTTGCTAGACTGATGATCGCCTCGCACTGTGCCGGGCTTGCGAATTTCGGGAAGAGAAGAGCTCGAGGTGTCCAGCTTAGTACCTGACTTAAGCATAAGCAAAAAGAACTCCAAGAGAATTTATAATCTCACTCTCTCACCTGGAAAGGTATGAATGCTAATTGATCTTCGCCAGTCACACCGTGCTCCGCGACCGTGACATCCTCGAGTAACTCATGTCTTCGATTCGCAAATGCTGGATTCGTATCCTCTGGAAGCTAAAGGAGTACAAGAAAAAGATGGAATTGAGTGCTTCGTTACAAGGATTACCTGCTGGAATTCGGGGATGAAGTATCCAACGAGAAAAGCGAGCACGCACAAGACTAGAACCAGAGGCGCCGATACCTGGTGGCCGCACACCCGGCCTCTCGATCTCCCCTTCATAATTTTGGAGCCGGATTGAAGCTACAACCCTGAATCCAACCTATCGATCGATCGATCGATCGATCCCTCACCTTCTAATCGGCGCGGCGCTCGCTCGCGAGCGCCCTACCTAGTGAAGATTTCTCCGCCCTACCACGCGATCAATGCCGTGTGGTTTCGCGGCCGTCGGGAAGAACAGCCGTTCTCTAGCTACCTGAGCAAATAATACCCCAAAAGGTCAACTCGGGCTTTAATCGTTGACTAGATATGTGCCACGTGTTTTCTTTGACTATGCCACGCAGGCCCTAGTTTTTGTTTTCCCGCATTTTAGGGTTCTTGATGGCGGAGGACGCGCCGAGATCGAGGAAGAAGGCGCCCGAGCCGGAGCCCGAGCCGCCACAGCCGACGTATGTCTACGATCTTGGCGCCGATATGCTGGAGACGCTCCACAGGGCGTTCAATCTCGTGGCCAAGAAGGGCGGCAGGAGGAAGCCCAACGAGGTCGACGAGAGGTGAGTTTCGGGGGGGAATCTCGGCGATCTTTGGCTCACAATTGCTTCCAGGGATGTGCCAGTGTTGGTGCGCGCGCTGGGATACAATCCGACCGACCAGCACATCCAGCGTGTGGTTCTCCGGGTAAGAAAGAAAGAACCAACGACTTTCTTCTCTCTCCTTCGCTCTTGAGCGATCTTCCCGAGGAAACAGGCAAGAGAGGACGAAGATCCAAAGCATTGCACGAGAGGGCACCTAGACATCAACAATCTCCAGAAGAAGATCGCGGAAGTTTTCGCCACGGATCCATCGCTGTCGTATCGCCACACCGAGAACGAGCTCATCGCATGCCTTCGAGTAAGCAAAGATTCTCGACTGCTCGATTTCTCTGATGGAATTCTCTCTCTCTTTGTTCTCAAGGCTCTATCTCCGCCGAGCCAGGACTACATCGAGCCTACTGATCTCTACGTAAGTGATTTGGATGCGCGATCCATCTCGTACGTATCCATCACTCTTGTGATCAGGATGCGATGACCGATCACGGTGTGAGTTTCACGCACGACGAAGCCGAGACAATGATCCGGGCGGGCAAAGATCGAGACACACAGAAAGTTTGGCACGAAGACTACGCGTTTGTGGCGGCCAGCGATTCCATCCCAAAGCCTCCCAACATTATCGCCACAGAGATTCCTCCCGAGCTCCCGCCAATGGAAGCGCCGCCGCCGCCGCCGCCGCCAGCCTAACACCCTTGCTGACGTGGATTCTCACGTTTCAAATATTTTGGCGGGGTTGCTAGGGTTTGTTCTCATAGAAGTGAATGGCTAGGGAAGGTTTTTCTGGGTTGGCAGGATGCGATTTGATGCATTCCATTGCTGGTTTGGTGATCGAAACATCAAGCAATGTAGGTTTGGTTCTTTTCTTATTTTTTTTCTTCCTATTGCTTCTCATTTTTTCTTTGTGCGTGTGTTGTGTTTGCTTTGATGCATTGTTGTGAAATTTTCCTCATTGGCTTTTTTGTTGTGTTTTAATCGCAGGAAACGAATGCTTGCAACCGGATGTGACTAAAGCGTAGTAGTAACTTTCTTTCTTTCCACTTTTGTGCTGATTTATACAAGTTTTTTCCTTTCATTTTTCTAAAGAGAAGGTTGCTAAGCAGATAACAAAACAATGCGAGTGCTATACCATAACAAGACCCGTTTTCAGGCAAGATTTCAAATCGGATAGAAATAACTTGCAACCGTCGTCGCCATAACGTAGCAAAAACTTTTTCGTAGAACTGATTTACGGCAGCAACCTTGAAAAGTAGAGCATAAGTCAAAACATTATCCACAAAAGCCACAAAATCCTTACCTTATCACTGTCTAAGCTGATATTTTGCATCGAGCCAAGCCGAACCACAACATTTCTTCCGCGTTCCAAATTCAGTTCGAAGCTTCCATTTTCGAGGGAGGCATCCCAACTTTGATGACAAGAACAGTGCCAAGTTACGATAGGAGAACCTGTCGTCACTGGAACTAAAGGAAAGCACGTAGGTGTGGAAGGTCAGTGGCAATGCCGTGAGTTTGTTCTTGTTCTTCGTGAGTTTCCTCTCGCAGCTCTGATCGATCCATGCCATGATTTTGCAGCAAAAGAGCGATGTTTAGAGCCCCGACGCGTTGGAAGCCAAGCAGCTATGAAGAGCATCGGACTTAAAAGACTTTCGTGAAGACGCGTCAAGGATCTGTTGTTTATGTGTGATCCTTCGCTCTGATGTGGTCCTGCCAGAGTATGTCCATGCGTAATACGACCGCTGCTCATCATTCTAGTATAGCAGTATTCTTCTCAGTCTAGACTTGACAGACGCCGTGGTTTCCTACATAAAAGCGCATTCACTCTTATAACCTCACCAAGCTCATAGAAATGTGGCCACATATTAGAATACCAAAAGAAGGTAGGAGAGAGAAGGGTCTTGTGCAAAGCTTCTCTCTTTTGTGGAGATTTTGTAGCCGAAACTTCCCCTGTGATGAGTGATGTCTTGAAGTAAGTCTTCTCGTCTTTTATTGATGATCCTGTCACTTGGAGCAGACAATCCTTGTGCTTGATGTCCTGGAAGCTCTGATCGGTACTTGGGTGTCAGAAAAGTCGTCAGATAACTTGGATTCGTCTTCATAATGTTTTGTCGGATAAACGGGAGTTAAAGCCGAGGATGAAGAAATCTATCCATAGATCCGAGACAGAGACCCCTCCTTCCTGGAAAACGCAAGCCGTTCGTGAGCACTCGCTGTCTATACATCGGGCAAGATCTATGCGGAACTTCTTTCCTCTAAGACTTCTCGCCGATGCGAACTCCGAGACGTTTGAAACTTCCGCCGCAAGTGATACTCCAGGCTCGCTTTGGGACGAGTTAACGCGTCTTGGACCGACTCTCTTCGAAATCACGCAGGTATAAAGCCCGACGCAAACTTTCATAGACGAGATCGAGAACGAGAACAAAGACAAGTCAGCCGAGGCGCTGATGATCGAGAGAGCCTTGGACACCTCGTTGTCAAAGTTGCCGAGCGTGCAGATTCTCTGCTTGGTTTTCAGGAAGCTAAGATTTCCTGAGCTTGTCTGAGGTAAAGCTTTTCTTATTTGTGTCTGCGTTGTCACAAGCCACATTAATTGACGCAAGCGATGGCTCGGGACAACGAGGTTTCTAGCTTCGGCGAAAGCACACGGTATCTGGCGCTGCGAGGAAGATAGAAAAGATCTCGAGGATGCAAACGACACAACTGGAAAGTAGCTGCCAAGGTAAGATCGATCCTGTTTTATTGTTATTCTCTAGAGTGATGTTCTCCGATTCTAAACAGGATGGTTTGAGCCAGCAAATTCGGATTTCTTGTCAAAGAGTACAGCCAATTTAGCTCCATTGTCATCAGCCACTTTATATACAGAATGTCGGGATATCAGGAGGCAAAATCTCGATCGATGACAAAAGTTCCCGACTTTTCTATACCGGCACCCTTCTTGAGCGGAAGCGATCGAATATCTGAAACGAGGAGAGTTAACTTCCCACAAATCGGGAGGGAGAAAGCCGGAGAAAGCTTACCGAGACGAAGAAGGGCTGTTGGAAGAACCAGCCAAGAACTGGAACTCTATACAAGAAGACCACCACCGTCGGGAGGAAGCCACTGCGCATGAACACAACTTTCTTACGTGAGAAGAGAAACGAGGCTCGAGAACTTTGCCGACCTGAAGAGGATGATAAAACCATACGCTTCGATGATCATTCCAACCACGGGCCATCCGAGGATGACGAGGACAAATCCCACCAGGAAAGATATCGTGCCCTGCAGCCGCAGCGCGGCGATCAAACTTGCAAAAACAAAGGAAGAAAAATGCCGCGGGAGAAGAATTCTCATACCTTGAAGTTGCGTCGCTTGGCGAAGAAGAAGAGCGTCGACTTGGGACCAATCGTGAGAGTAACGCCGGACAAGAACAAGATCTGCAACAAAGGAACAAGAAAAGATTAAAAACTCTTCAATTCTTCCTGCGATTTGCGCTCACGTTTCCCATGGCCAGAAGGGCCTTGTCGAAGAAGAAGATCAATCCCAGAAACGTGAAGAGCACCCCGAATCCAGTGAGGCCAATTCCAATCTCTAAAAATTCCCAGAGCTGAGAACTGGAGCTAGAAGAAAGAAAATGCTGCAGCTAGACTTACTCTTGTAATCGTTCACATCCATCGACAACATCGCGGCGGGAGTCCTCGCGCCTGGGCAGCTCGCGCTCGCTGATCTAGGGCTTGAGAGCTCCAAGCGCGCCCTGGGTTCGAATCTCCGCCCAAGCAAAATCCACAAACCCTAGGAAATAGAAAAACAGAGATGCCCTAACCCTACATTTTCAAAAAGATGCCAGGGGCATCTTCTACAGATTTAAGAAACTGTACGGAACATTCGCGGTGATCTCGGGGAGAGTAAAAAAACGTGATAAACTCGAAAGATTTGCACACAGTAATTTGTAGATTCCTGTCTGACATGCCCGATTGACTTTCGCGGCCGCGTTTTGGCCCAAATCCCAACGTCGCCGCGGAGACGATGACACCAAACTTTGTAAACAAGGACATTCTCTCCAAAAGAAAATCCACAGGACATTCTTTGTTCAAGCCTGGTTGTATGGCAACGATTGGACGACACTGCCAAGAATTTTAATCCAGAGTGTCGGCGATCTCACAATCTCGCCAGTGAAAAGAATCGTAAAACAATCCATACCTCTCTTCTCGCGGGAAAAGTTTTGCTCGCTCCAAGAGACAAGAGAGCGAGCGAAGAAAAGCCCTCCTTCACACACAGACCTTTCACAGCAGCTTTAGGATAGCGAAAGGAAAAGAACTATAATGTTTTGTTACCCGCTTTTGACGACACTCGACACCACCGCGCGGCGCACAGGAGCGAGCAAATTTAAGATTCCGGACGCCATGAGTTCTTTTCCTGCAGCAAAACGCAGCGCGGAATTAGCTTCGCGCAAGCAGACAAGCGCTTGCCAGTTTCTTAATCGAAAAATTCTTAAGTTATTCTCACCTCTCACTCACCAGCCAGCCAGCAGCCAGGAAAGACTCTTGACCCCCTTGAAAAAACAACCTTGCAAAAAGTCCAACATTTCCATCATCCGAAGACCAGGAAGAAGAAAACACCAAAATTCGAAAGGACGAAGAAAAAAAAAACTACAAGACAAAAGAAGAAGAAGAAACTGAGCTGGATGTAACGGGCAGCAGCATACAATCGTCTGATGAACCAACCATCTCCAATGCAGGCAAACAGCAAAAAGGAAGAAGACTGACCTCCACTCCAGAAGACCCTCGGAAGCCTTTGCAGTACGCTTGACCCACCTATAGAAAGCCTTTGCAGCACATAAGGCCCACGCCGAAAGAGAAATATATATATCTGCCGATTAAATACATACCTTAGAATGAGAGAGACACCGAGCCGTATGTATGGTGGTCACTGGTGTTGTGGACCACACACTACAGACCGAAATAAAGAAGGATCATCGGCTCCGACCACCAACAGTGGCCAGGAGGCAGGCTACCGCTCAGTAGCATATCTAGCGGTAGCCGGAGAGCGCTTGGTTCGTAGCAGCAGCTGCCAGGAGGATTAAACAAACGAGGCAGGAAATAAATGACGAGGATAACGTATCTAGCACGCCTCTGTAACGGCCACTAGTTGATGCCCGGCTGCAAGGATCTGATCTGAATAGGATTTCACTTGACACTGATCAGTTGAGCGCTATAAACTTTGTCGCAAAGCTCACACCTTTCGATCGCAACTTTGAATTTGTTCAGGAGCCAAGCCGTCCGTCCAGCCGTAATTGCTCTCCTCTCTACATATTCCTGACACAGGGAGCGGACTTTATACATGCAAAAACAAAACAAAGTCTCCGTCCTACGTACAAAAGCCAAAACATTACCTCCTTGTCTTTGTATCATGGCTCGACAAGCGAGAGTGCCACCTAAACTTATGCGTCTTGTCGAGCAGTAATATGAAACGCACTTTGGAGGGAGCTGAGCGCTGGCTGCTGCTGCTTATCTGTCCCGCTCGCCAGCTCTCACGAGACCCGGCGCGTGCGTTCATGCAAACAAGACATAAGTCACGTCCCACAGTGAGGAGGAGAGAAATTAGAAAAAGAAAAGAGAAGCAAAGAGCAGGAACTTACAACCAAGCACCAGCGTTCTGTTTGCATAATTAATTTCTCGGAACTCGTCAGGACGGCGGGCAAGAGGCACGGACGAGCGAACGGAAGACGAGGACCGCAAGGCAACGAGAGAGACAACACACAGTTCGTAGCAACATGACAACACCGACTTACTAGAGAGCATCTCCTCTTGATCCGCAGGAGAAAAACAACGATAAACAATGCCTCGGCAGGCGTCCTACTCGTACCGAGGGGAGTGACAACCAAGCATTCACACTGGTCGTACTACGTAGCCCAACTCAAGACTTTTTCACGTCAACCTGAAGCTGGATATGATGATTCAACTTTGGGAAACAACAGGAGAGAGGAGAGTCCTCTGCTCAGTTGCTGAAGGAACTCTACTGTTCCTGTTAGTAACTGCAAAGAGGACGGGAAGGCTCCTCTCATCTACCTAAAGGTAGCAAGCAAGGCTAACAATCAGGAGTACCTTAATGCTGGACAGAAAACCTCGTCACTCTGCGCTGTAGCAACTGAGCTCCAACTTGAGCGGCCCATTTCCCCGGCTCAGGTCGTATTTGACGTTCCTCGAGCAATAGGTCCCGGATTTCGACAGTCTCCCATACTGCCTGAAAAACAAAAGAGCTTAGCTTCCAATAGAGCCAAACACTGATATGCTTTACCTGCCGAGCAAGGAAAAGCCTCTACCCCGCGATGGAGATGTTGGCTTCAGGATCTCCTTCACATCTACAAGAGCCGGCACCTTATGAACTCGGCCTTCCTCAGACGCATCGGAGGAATTAAAGCTATCGCCCGTAGTGGACTGCTGCGTCTCTCTGGAGGTGTCACTGAAGAAAAGATTGTCTCCATCTGCTCGCAAGTCCCTACTGTGCTCATCGGGAGAGTACTCCGATGAAACGTCCTTGGAGGCCGCCAGAGGTGGATTCACTGCCTGATCTTTCGTATTAAGACCCCCGCAATACGACAAGACGTGTAGAAACACCCAAGACGATGAGCCATTCTTCGTCTTCAGCCTGAGATGCTCTGGTTCCTTGTCATGCGGGACAAACCTTTTGGACTTCCCATGTTTCTTAGCTCCCGGGGGCGACGAAGAAGCATCGACACCAAGAACCACCTCGTCCGGTGCCAATTTCTGCTGCCTCGGAACTTTAGTATCCTGTCCTGGCATTCTCGAGTCAAAGCTTGTTGCAGTAGCGGTAGAAGCCTGGCCCATTTTTCTTCGCTGTTCTTCAGTTTGAGTAGTCGCATCGCACCCCTGATCGATTACCGCCGGCGTCTTTATGGTGTAGACTTTCAACTCATTAAAGGTGGATTCCTGGAGAATGCTTCCCGTTGAATGCCTCACCCCAGTATCCACAATCCCATCGCTAAGTTTGTCCTCCGGAAAACCATTGTCCAAAACCGTCTTTTGCTTACAAGCCGGCTGCTCGTAAGATCTTCTCACCGCGAGCGGCAAGAAGGAATTGGGCTCTGGTTTCGACGTATTTGCCGAGGTGCTGTCTATAGCTGTAAGCCAAGACTCCGCTCCCCTATACTTCCTCTGAAGTACTTCGCCCGGCTGCTTACATTTTGGTACTGCGATGAAACATCAAAAAAGAATCACACAACTGGGCCTAGTACAAGATCTTACCTTGCTTTTCGACGATTTCTGATCCCTTGAGGACGTATTCTCCAGAAGCCACAGGCAGTACAAAATCGTCATCAGAGACATCTTGCCAGATACTCGTATTTTTGTAAATTCTAGAAGAGAGGATTCACGGCGCCATGATTAGCAAGCGAAGACCAAGAACGAAAGAAAGAACATCGCCGCAGCCTATACCTCTTGAAAGACCACGCATACATCACTGGCATCCTGCATCCGCGCAACGCCGTCAATCTAAACTTCACATCTGTTGCATAGTCGGCTTAGAACACATTCGCAAGAATGAGGGATTTCCTACCTCGCAATCGAAGCCCCGGAGCGTGAAACGCGACATCGATCATGTGAGGCGAATCCACCTTGCCATTTCGAGAGAGATAGTAGACGACCTGAGCCATGGTGTGGCCGTAGTCCGGATCGAAATCCACCTGCATTCTCATCCAATATTTCCTAAAACCCTGTGCCTGCGCCCCTCCGCTAGCTCGATCGCTCGCTCACTCGCTCCTGCCCTTCACGATGATCTCAGCGCCTCCCCCGCGATATTTCTCACAGAAACCGCCGCCCGGGATCAGGATCAAGATGAAATGCCGCCGTTGCCGGCCGGATCATCGAAATCCAAGAAAACACCCTTGCGATTCCAACGAATTCGCTGCCAAACCGGATCGCGCCGTGACGAGCGAACAAGATTTTGAATAGTTGCCCGCTGTGCCACTGATCACTGCCAGGGCGCCCGGAGCCAAGCCGGCAGCTAGCTCCAGCGCAAGAACACCACGCCTGATACCCTAGTGATTCGCTCTACATGCAGAAACAAACCCACACCCAAACGACAAACAAGGGGGCTCTGCTATGCTTCCCATAGCCCAAGTTAGAAGGAAAAGAACGAGCTCCATCGTCGGATGCCCCGTCGCAAGATCGTGGCCCTCCATGCAAACTGTCCAGCTGGCACGCCGCTCTGCCGTTGGTTCGTCGCCGCCCAACGGCCAAGATTGGCCACGGGGCTTTCCCGCCACCGTGGTGACTCGCGGTGTCGTCAGCCAGGGAGTCGTTCCCGGTTTGGAGTTTACCTGGTTCTCGGTAAAAACAAACGCTACCACATGCTAAACTATCTCGGTAAAAGAAATGCTTCATTCACTCACGAAGGATCGTGCAATGAGTTAATGGGCAAGTTTTTCGTTTCCTCGCTCGCCAGTGATTTCTAGGTGGAAGGTTTGACGAAGAACTTTAGAAGAGGATTTTCTGTAAGGTTTGAAAAATAATTGAGCGATGGTGTACCGGATCTCTGACTACCTACATGACAGCATGTCGATCGAGCACGAATTATTTTCTCTCGCGATCGCCCTGGATTTGTAGAAGCTTCTTTGCTGGGTGTGGAGAAATCGACGCTACCCAGGCTGGAATCGCAGCTGGACTGAGGAGCTGTGGCGCCGATCGAGCTCTCGAGGCCGGGAAGAAACTCCACGCGGCGATTCAATCCAGCGCCCGCTTCGCGAGCGACGTCTATCTCGCCAATCTCGCGATTCAAATGTATGGCAACTGCGGGAGCGTCGAGGATGCCGCGAGAGCTTTCGTGGCGCTGGGCGATCGGAGGAACTCCTTCTCGTGGAACATCATGCTCGGCGTGTTTGCTCGGAGTGGCGATCCGGAGAGAGCCAAGGAGATCTTCGATGCGATGCCCCGGAAGGATGTGATCTCCTGGAATGCCACCGTCTCGGCCTATGCCCAAAACGGGCATAGCGCCGAGGCGATGGTCCTGTTTGATCGTATGCCCCAGCACGACGTTGTGTCGTGGAATGCGATCATCACTAGCTTTGGCGATGGCTTCGACCCAGATTCGGGATTTAGGATCTTCGCCGAGATGGAGGAGCGCAATCTCGTGTCGTGGAACGCGATCCTCGAAGCGCATACCAAGAGCGGGCATCTGTCACAGTCGATCAATATCTTCGATAGAATGCCGCAGAGGAGCGTAATATCATGGAACCTGATGATTGCCGCAAATGCGAGGCACGGAAATCCCGACGAGGCCGAGAGATTCTTCGATCAATCGCCAGAGCTGGATGCCTTCTCCTGGACGACGCTCCTGACATTGCGCTCGGATCTCGGCCAGCTGCAAGAAGCTATGGCGTGCTTCGCCGCCATCCGCCGCAAGAACGTTGTTACCTGGAATGCAATCGTCGCGGCATTCGCCGATAACGATTCTCTCGCCGATGCCAAGCGCGCATTCGATCTGATGCCTCAGCGTGACGCCATCGCCTTCACTTGCGTCGTCGCCGCCTCTGGATTGAGCGGCTACGTCCAAGACGCCATAGAAATATTTGCCCTCATGCCCTGGAAGAACACCATCTCATGGAACACGATGCTCGCGGTATATGCGCAAAACGGCATCCTGGACGCGGCGGTCGAGATATTCCAGCACATTCCAAGGAAAACATCCGCCACGTGGACAACCTTGATCGTAGGATATTCTGTCAACAGGCGGCTGGATGCTGCCACATGGCTGCTCCAGAGGATGCCACGTCATGACGCTATGACATGCGACGCTGTTCTCGAGGCGTTTGTGGAGAGCTCTCGGCTGGACGAAGCCAAGAACTTCTTTGACGTAGCGCCGATCGCGAGCACTTCGAGCTGGAGCACGATGATTGCCGCATTCGCGAGCGATGGGCGCAGGGACGATGCGATGCTGCTCTTCCAGAGATCGCCGCAATGGAGCATCGCATCGTGGAACGCGGCGATCCAAGCGAATGCCGCGGCTGGGGAAATAGAGCGAGCCATCGCGATCCTGGAGGAGATGCCCGGGAGGGATTTGGCCTCCTGGACGATCATCAGTGTGGCATTCGTTTCTAGCGGAGATCCGGTACGAGGAAGATCGATTCTCGCAGAGAATGTGAGCTTCAAATCCATCGCGTCTTGGAATACACTTCTTACCGCAAATGCCCAGAACTCGCACATCGCGGAATCGCGATTGATCTTCGAGGGAATGGAGCACCGCGATGCTAGCTCTTGGAATTCAATCGTGTGCGCCTATTTCTTGAATGGAATTCCGGATCGTGCCACCGATCTCTTCAGAAAAATGCCCGCCTGGAATATGATCTCATGGAACACGATGATCACTGGCTACGCCCACAACGATCGTGGCACCGCCGCGATCCAGCTCTTCCGGACCATGGACCTGGAAGGATTCACGCCCGAGCGCGCGACATTCATTGCGATCTTGGGCGCTTGCTCGAGCATCCCAGCGATCGATGCCTCTTTCGTGGATCTCATCCAAGCCCTCGTCGTGGATGCCGGCCTCCATGTCGATCGCATCATCGCCAATGCGCTCATCAGCCTCTACGCCAAATCGGGCAGCCTGGAGCGCGCCGCCAGGATCTTCCACGCCATGGCGGAGAGCGATCACCGAGACGTGGTCACCTGGAACGCGATGATCGCGGCCCACGCCCGGAGCGGCAATGGCAAGCTCGCTATCTGGACCTTCCACGCGATGCTACTCGAGGGGCTGATCCCCGACGCCATCACTCTTATGGTCGTGCTCTCGTCGTGCAGCCACGCCGGGCTCGTCGATCAGGGCTGGCAGATCCTCGCCTCGGCAATCGCGGGCGATCACAGCCTAGCTCTCACGGACGATCACTTCGCGTGCCTGGCGGATCTCCTGGCGAGGTCGGGGCGGCTGGGCGAGGCCGAGGAAGTGGTGACCAGCAAGATCGTGAATCCCGGCGAGGTCCTGGGGTGGAAGACGCTGCTGGGCGCTTCCAAGAATCACGGAAACATCGATCTGGCGGCGCGATCGGCCGAGTGGCTGTTTCGTCTCGACCAGAAAAGCTCCGCCGCGTCTTACATTTTGCTGTCCAGCGCCCTGGAAAACGCTAGTCAACGGAGTCAATGCTAGACCACGATTTGACTTTTAAAAAGTCAAAGCACGGGTGTTTAAAATTAACACGGAGAATATTCGATGGCTCTAATTGGGAAGGGTGTTCTAACCCTAGAGGAACGGAGCGCCAATGTCGTCGCGCGTGGCAGCTCTGTGGAATCATCCTGCTGGTCCCAAGACGAGTAAGTAGCGATCGATCCATCCATTTCCTTGTCTCTGCGGATCCAGCTCGCGAAATTCTTACTCCTGCCCTCTTTTCTCTCTTCGCGCGATGAAATCTCAGTCCATTTCTGGGCGCCGACGTTCAAGTGGGGGATTTCCTTCGCCAACATTGCGGATTTCTCTAAGCCGCCGGAAAAGATCTCGTATCCTCAGCAATGCGGTGAGATTCTCGTGTTTCTTTCCTCTACTGTGGCTGACTCATTGACCTTTTTCATGCTCTAGCCGTCACTTGCACGGGGATAATCTGGTCGAGATATAGCACTGTGATCAATCCGGTATGGTCCCTTTTCCCTCTCTGGACGAAAGAAAACTTCTTTCTTTTCGTGTTCCCAGATCAATTGGAACCTGTTCAGTGTCAACATCTTCATGGCTGGAACAGGAATCTATCAGCTCTCTCGAAAAATCAGGTTTCTTCCCGTTTTCTTCTGTAGCATCACTGAAAAGTTCTCGTTTGTCACTTCAGGCAAGACTACCTCAAAGACAAAGAGTGATCGATCGGATCGGAAAGACACACAGTCGCTGTTTGTACGAAGGCACTCGATTAAAACAGGCTAGCTCCGCCATTTTTTCGGGCCATCGTCCCACAAAGATTTGATCTTTCCTCTCTTCCAGACTCCAGACTTACAAATTGATTAACAGGGAAAGTACATCACAAGAAAAAATGGTACACAAAGTCAGGTCGTCGTCTAGATCTCTCCATCAATTCTCCTTGACGGCCTCGTCGTTGAGAAGCTGCTTTTTCCGCTCCACCTCGAAAGACTTTGCCGCTCTCCGGATCTTCGTCCCGGGTTTCTTGGACGCATAGAACTTGATCAATCCGGCCCACAGCTTGTACACCCAGACCAAGCTCCCGACGAGCGCCAGCGCCGACTTCGCCATCCAGCACCGCACCAGGAGCCTGGGAATCACTCCATCGGCAGCCCCGGACAAGTAGAACTTGCTGATCCGGAACACCAGCACAGGTCCCAGCCCGACGCGAAACACCGTGAAGATGACAGTGAAGAACGGCGAGAGCCTCTCGTAGACCGTCTTCATGGCCGGGGAGATATCGCGACCCATACGGCAGATCGTCCAGATGTTTTGGAAGGGGCTGGTGGCCTCGCCCACGGCCACCATCGCCATGGCGGACAGAGCTCCATGGCCGACGAAGTACCTGCAAGAGATCATGTAGCTGGAGGTGGCAATGTGGTGGAGGACGAAGAGGTAGTCGCCCGGGGCGACGAGGAGGTAGTGGGCGAGGTCGACGAGGAAGTACGCGGTGCTATACTCGAGGATCTTGTTCTGGGTCGCGGAATTTGGGGCTGCCAGATCCCAGGGCGATTGCCAGGCGTTGTATCCCGCCAGCGCCGTGATGGTGGTGCCGTGGATGATCGACACCGCGCAGCTCGCCGCCTCGTAGCGCTTGATCCCCCTCCATTTGCGGAAGAGCGTCTGGTAGGAGATCCCATAAATCGCGGCGAAGAGCGCCACCGAGTAGAGCAGCACCGGCGACCATAGATCCAAGCTTGCCATGGCGAAAGAACGAACGCCCAGAAGGAAAAGAGCGTACTTTCAACCCTAAGGGAAAGGTGACTATTTCTTTAAAGGACACCTGTGCTTTACCAGCCTGTCCGTACAATGCCACCGTGGTGGTATATTCCTTCCCTTTGTGCGAGAAGATGCCCCCGGAAACGAATAGCGTACGGGAATATGCGCTTTTTACGAAAATCTTGTGGATTATGGATTAAGCGAATGGATTTCCAGGCCGTGTAGCGTGTGTCAATTCTTCGCGTGAAGTGTCTGGCAGCATTTGCCACGACTGAGGCGACGAGGAACTCTCGCTGTCTATCATCGGGTTCTGGAATTGGAACTCAGTAAAATCCTGGATGAATTTTTATCACAGTTACAGCTTGGAAAAGGAGAACAGAGCTTTCTCACCGGGAGACTGGTGTCCTCGGGTAGATCAAACGGGTTCGTTGATTTTCGACGAGGCTAAATCCAGAGGAGGAAACGAAAGTGAGAAGCTAGAGTTGAGTTGAGTGGTGATTGAGATCTTACCACTGCAGCGACGGTTTCTGGTGCAAATTGTGATGGGGGAAAACTTATCTGCCAGTAGAACTATGTTAAAGATGGTAGAACAAGTTGATAGTTACCTGAGGAAAAACCAAACCCTGCGCGGTATTCGACCACATAGTTGTTTCGTGGTTTGGATGCCACATTTCTTGCCATGACGCCGAGTTTGCTGGCTGCTCCGGGGAAGTATCGAACGTAGCCCAGCCGGTAGTGCTTGCTTTGATATATGGCTGCTGCTGTACCATTTCTGGATTCTCTGGATATGGATTTTCTGGGTATGTGCTTTGTTGGGAGCTGCTTGTTGGTGCACCTGGTGAATCGTTCTGTGCGGAAAAAGGAACAAAAGGGAAGTCACAGGAATTACTTGAGTGAGTAGCACTTACAGCAGTGGAAGGTCTCTGTGGTTCTATACGTAGAACGGGCAAATCGTCACCAAGAATCTCCCGCATTGAGCGAACTTCAGGAGAGTAGCCACCGTCGTACTCCCTGGAAGAAACTGGCCGATCATCTGATCTTGTTCTCTGGTGAGCTTCTCGCTGCAAGCCCGGACGACGCTCTTCGAAAGAGTGGCTGCTCAGAAAGCTCGATCGGAGGCTGCTTCGTTTGCCATCTTGTTCATCTCCCTGAACAAATACGGGAAAAAAAAAAAAGAAAAGTAAACAACGTGAGCACATTATAATAAGTTTGAGACACTGACTCTAGGTGGTGGAGGCTTGTCAGCTGAATACAGTTGGTCTACATAGATGGCTTTGACGAAGTCTCTAAGTTTCTCGGGATTGCTTCAAAAACAATTGGAAAACGATCGGGTCAGAAGTGTTACTTTCAATTACAAGAGTCTGAAAGAGTAATCAGCCTACCACAGAGCTCTTTTTTCTTCTACCTGCTATCTGGAACAGGATGATGCCTGGAGTCCCAGTGCTTAAAATACATCTCCAAAGCTCGCTGGAAGAACATAAGAGGAAACATTTACACGATAGAATCAATCGCAACACTGGTGTTTCGGGATTTAACCTGGTTTCCACCCGCTTGGAGGGCTGCTACTTCCTCGGGAGTGAATTTGGAGAGCGAAATGGATTTTACCCGATGGCTGAATTCTCGGCTACAAAGGAAATAAGCAAGGATTAGAGCAAGCAAAGAAAAAAGTGGTAGCGTACTGGACTCCACCACAAGCCATGCACACAAAAGTTGAGAAAGTTGTGCAAACATATTGTGGTCCCTGGAAAAATCACACCAAAAGAGCCTTGTCAACAAAGAACGACCCAGAAAGAAACAAGCAAGAAGACTGTACCACGCTACCGCAATTCAAGCATTTCCTGTTGTCATCGAGCTTGGACAATCCGCGAATGATCCTCTCGTGCCTCACATCCTCCTTGTTCCGATTCATCCTTCTCTGGAACAAAGAGAAACCGCCGCCATTCCTTGCGACCTAAAATCACCAGCCCAGCTCACCTCCTTTACGCCCCTCCTCTCCCACCGACGATCGCCAAGAGGGACGCGATCGACACACCGCCAAGCGCCGGGTGCTGGGTTGGATGCTCGAAGATTTCTCCAAGACCGTGGGGGCGGCGCCGCGACAAGACGACAACGCGAAGGACAACACACACACACACACACAAAAGAAAGAAAAATAATAATGTTATCCACTTTCCCCAAAATTTGTAATTTAGGTCATCTATTCTTGTCAACTCTTTTTAGGGTTTTTAGGTGTGTTCTTCACCAAGAAGCATTAGAAGTTTAAAGATCTTTAGTCCACCTTTCGAATTCTCACAAACATTGTTAGGTACATTCTTCCATCCTTTACACCCTTTATAACAAGTTGAGTGCTTGACATATATAATAAAAAATGACAACTATATTGACAAAGACATAATGTGAGCAACGTGATTCTCTAGGTGTCGGATGATTTGATCAAACGAAGAAAAATACTGGCTATTCTCTCGATCGGTCGGGCAATCGTGGCCCCGGATAGAAGAGTGGATGTTCACGTTTGCCAGCAGCTCTTGGATTCTAGTCCTGTTCTGGAGGGATGTTGTAGTAAGGCAAACTCTTGTTGCCCCAGCAGAGCTAGCACCACCAGGGCATTGCCATCTTTCGAGACCTCCCTAAGTACACCATGACCATATCAGCACAGGAGCTTGAAGCACCATCTTTGCAGAACATAAAGGGACCTTGGCAGCATCAGGGAAAATCCAGCTTCAACTCCCTTGCTTGCCAATCTGAGGCATCCACTGGGTTGCATTTAGAATATTCCTAGGGTTTGGAAGACCACTCAACATTCTTCATGTTAGTTCTTTGCAAGCCCATCTGTAGAAGGGACCATCGAAAGTTGAAAGCTCAATCACATGCTCCTCCTCTGCGCTGGTGGAGAAGTAGCTGTATCAAACTTTTAATGGAATTTACTTTAGATTTGTTTAATGAAGAATTAAAATCTAGTGTACAAGAATCTTCATTTTCCTCTTCACATGTTTGATCTGCTAATACTTGATATCCGAGCCTTCAAACAGGAACGCTAGAGGAAGGCGTCCTCCTGTGTCTTCCACGGGAGCTAGCTTCCCGGCCTTCCTCGCCAGATCCTCTGGAGTTACCTCGGTGTTGAAGAGAGCCATCGCCAGGAAGTCCTTGCGCATCGATCTTCTGAGCTTCTAGACTTCGTACTCCAGTGTGTTGCCGATGAGTAGACGTAGACTTCCTTCTTCTGGCCGATTTTATACGCGCGGCTCACTGTGGAAGGATTCCAGGCAGTGTCGAGGATAACCGCCCTGGAGCCACCAGCTTCTACGGCTTGGTCCTGAGGAAGTGCAGGAGCTCCATCACTAAGCCAGTCTTGGCCCCTGCTATTGGATCCTGCTGCTCTCTAGTTGAGGAGACTGCAGGTCCGCTAGGCAAGGATGAATGATCTAAACAACATTATGACATCTAAAGGTGTCAAGACAGATCCAAGGATGGTGGCTATGGTTAGAACATTGGATTGCTTGACATAAAGCTGGCCGGAAAACCAATTTTTACAACGAAAGATCGATAAAAAAAAATGGTGGTATTTCGTGATTTCCACGCTGCTACTTCCTCGGGAGCGAATTTGGAGAGCGAAATGGATTTCACCCGATGGCTGAACCCAAGAAAATGAACAAGGTTGGATTAGAGAGCAAGCAAAGTGGTGGCGTACTGGAAAGCCATTGACAAAAACCTTGAGAAAGCTGGAACATAAAGGGGAATAATAAGCATGTTTTTCTAGGGTTTCTCAAGGGTCTCTCGGATGATTTGATCGCAAACATACTGGAGGGAATAGAGCCACACTTCATCCTGAAAAAGAAAGAGAAAAAGTATGCTGGCTATTCTCTCGTCTGCAAGAGATGGAGCAGAGTCGGTAGGGATATCGGAGCTCTATCAGTGAAATCAAACTGGTGGAAAACGGCGGCAGGATTCCAGGAGCATCGGGATCAAGTCGTTCGAAGGCTCTTCGTCACGGTCAATCCTTTCGAGCCCAAGCCTTCTCAGGACCGTCGTTGCTTCTCTTGGCTTCGGAAAGTGGGCAGCACACTGGAGGAGCTGAGGATTAAGTATGATGGGATGTCACCACAGGTAGACTTGAACGACGTATCAACTTGTTCCATGCTCAGACATCTCACCCTGGGTTGTAACGTCGTGGGGTCGATCCAAGTTGGGTTTTTCCCATGGCTCCGGAGCTGTGTTCTTGGAAGAGTGGATGCTTACGTTTGTCAGCAGCTCTTGGATTCGAGTCCTGTTCTGGAGGAATTCGAAATCTCGAGAGTTGTAGTAAGGCGTCGTCGTACACAGCTGATCCAGAACCCCCTCAGATCGGTGAGCTTGAAATCCTTCAGGCTGCGTGGAATCCGTGGCCCTGATGAGTTGAAGCTGGACTTTCCCAATCTTGAGGCTGCTGAGGTCCTGTTATGTTCTGCAAAGGTGGTGCTTCAAACTCCTGTGCTCAAACAGCTTAAATTGACCACGGATACCCGGGCAATGCTTAGATTCGAGCTCGAAACAAGCGAGCCTCTCCAGGAGCTGGAGGCTCCACTGGATTCCTTTAGGAGCATAGCTGCAACTTTGGATGCGATGCATTTGACAACGCTCACCCTTCGCTGCAGAGAATCTGATAAACTCTTCGATTGGAAGGTGGTGTTCCCTACGGTGAAGAAAGTTGTCTTGATATGCCCAATTAAGTGGCCTGGTCGTGCTAAACTACATAGTTTGCGCAGAAACTTTCCAGCTCTTGGAGAAGTATCGTGTCTTAGATGATAGAATTGATATGCATAATCATATAATGATATAAAGGATATAAGCTCACCTTTATACAACCTCTAAAGTTGATAGCCTATTTCCTCTATGCAGCACAAACTTCGTCCAGGCCTCTAGGAACACGATAGACACCGTCACACCGGTACTTGATATCCGAGCCTTCGAGCAAAAAAGGCTTGAGGAAGGCGTCCTGTGTGTCCTCCACGGGAGCGAGCTCCTGTTTAAGCCCGGCCTTCCTCGCCAGATCCTCTGGAGTTACCTCGGTGTGGAAGAGAGCCATCGCCAGGAAGTCCTTGCGCATCGATCTTCTGAGCTTCTCGACTTCGTGCTCCAGTGTGTTGCCGACGAGTAGCCTGTAGACGTAGACTTTCTTCTTCTGGCCGATTCTAAACGCGCGGCTCACCGCCTGCCTCACCGTGGAAGGATTCCAGGCCGTGTCGAGGACCACCACCCTGGAGCCACCGACGAGAGAGATGCCTTCGCCGCAAGCCTTGATGGAGACGAGGATCACCCGCGCCGTGCTGCTCTTGGAGTTGAAAGTGCTGCTTATGCGGACCCTCTCGTTGGTTGCAGTCTCCCCGGACATGTAAAGGACCTCGTGAAGCTCCCTCCATCCCAGCCGCTCCATGATCATGTTCTTGAGAAGCTCAAGAGGCTGCCTGTACTGGCCGAAGATGATCAGCTTCTCCGGCTTGTTCCTGAGGAAGCGCAGGAGCTCCATCACGAAGGCAGTCTTGGCGCCCGCCTTTGGATCCTGCTGCTCGAGCTCAGGAGATTCCACGTCCACGGCAAAGCAAGGATGAACGCAAGCTCTCGCTAAGCGACTGTCCTCGGCCAGGAAGCCTTTCTTCTTTTCCTTGGTGTAGCTTTTGCCGGCGTTTAGAACGAGCGCCTTGTGAGCCTCGGTAAGATTTAGCGTCACCAGCACCTCCTCGATGCCCGGGAGACTGTCCAGAACTTTGCCACCGTGCCAGTGAAGAAACGGAGCCGTCAGCTTCCGAAAGAAACGAACCGCGGCGCCAAGGTTGTTCTCCAGCCGGTTCTCGATCATCTCCTTGAAGAAGTGCCTCTCTGCGTCGTCCTTGGAAGCGTCAAACTCGAAGCGTTCCAGCACCGGTGTCAGGAAACTTGGCCGGCACAGTGTGAAGAGATTGTAGAGCTCGTCCAGGTTGTTTTGGAACACCGTCCCGGACAGGAAGATACGCCGAGGAGTTCTGACCGTCTTCAACGCTTCGGCGATCCTGGTGTTGTCATTCCTTGCGTAGTGAGCTTCGTCAAACACCAGCACGTCGGCTGCCCGAGCTAGCAGCCAGCTTTCGTCGCCCTCTTCGCCCTGGCCGCCCGCCAGCTTCGATGCCAGAAGCTGTGGAGTCATGATGAGAACGCTGCGCTCCGTGGCCCATTTGTAGACCTTGATGTCCGAGTCGCCGTCGAGAATATAAACTGGTAGACTCGCGACCTCCCATTTGTGAAACTCCTCCTCCCAGCGAAGGAGCATTCCCTTTGGAGCGAGGATCATAGCTCTGGCCGACTGGAAGTTGGCGAAGAAGCTAGTGAGGAAGCTGATGACGAGAAACGTCTTGCCTGTTCCGGGGGCATGGTGGAGAATGACACCCCCGGGCTCCTTTGAGAGCAAGTTGCGGCTGATGAAGATAAACGCTTCCCTCTGGTGCGGATACATCCGGGCACTGTCCATTGGATGCGGGACGAGATCCACGGTCACGTCGCCGAAGTTGAGCGTGGACTTCCATGCGTAGTCCTCGTGGAGCTTTAGTTTTTTAGTTGCCGGTCTAGAGCTCGCTTTCCTTGCTGGGACTGGAATCTGAAGAGTAGAGAAAAGAAAGTCAAGGAGAGACAAGAAAGAAACGAAATGATGCTCACGTCGAAGACGTCGGACACCAGCTTCACAACTCGCCCACAAATCTCGCACACCTTTCCACAATCCTCCCGGAAAACAAACTCGTGATCGCAGCTGTCGATGAGAACATCGATGTCTTTGAACTTGATGAGATCCGGCACCTATACACGATCAAAGAACGCAAAGCTCCTCAGGAAAGAAGAGACAAGAACAATTTTTTTACCCTTCGTCGCTCGGCCTCAATCTCGGCATCCCAATCATGCCAGATCGCAGCGAGCTTGTCCTCGTTCTCCAGCTTTTCGTGATCAAAATCAAAATCCCAGCTTCTGGAGTCCTCGAGGCATGGATAGATCTCGTCCCCATCGTCATCCTCCTCCTCCTCCTCCTCCACGGCCCTCCTCTTACCCGCATTTGGAGCCGGATTCTTCCGCGTCGACTCCTTGCGCTGCCATCGCTTCTCCTTGGCGATCAATCTATCCCAATCAATCGCCCTCTCATCGCCTTCTTCCACCAGCATTGTCGCGCGGCGAAGACAAAACCCTACCTAGACCCTGAAGAAGATTTATGGGAAGCACAGTATGGAAGTATGATTTAAAAGCTCACTTGAGATACTTGGAGAACCACGCTTCGAAGCGTGCCCAAGCCTTTTCCACGGCCTCATTGTCATGGTCCGCGAATCCACACTCTTTCTTGCGCTTCACAGCTTCGTCCGAGCTATTCATGAAGGCGTGGCCGTTGTTTGGATAGATTATCACCTCCGAATCTACTCCAGCCGCCTCCAAATTCTTCTCCAGAGCTTTTGCTGCCTGGAAGAACGCAGCAAAGATGAGAAATGCTAATGCTTCATGAGAAAAGCCCGCAAGAAAAAAGATCAAGCCATGAGAATGACAAAGAGAAACGATGTGTGACAATGCAAGTAAGCTTATGACCAGTTCCAAAAAACTTAAGCTTGAGGGCAGGCACCAAACGATCAAGCACTGGAATGGAAATTTGCTTACCGCAACATCGGAAAAGCCTGCCATTTGATCGAGCTCCCCGAAGTGAGCTTGAACTGGTATCTTCAACTTGGAGGTGTCGGCGAGGTCGGGCGATGGCGTCCCGTAAAAGGCCACCACGGCACTCACATCCGGGACGAGAACGCCAGCAGCCAGGGACAATGCTCCTCCCATGCAAAAACCTGTCACTCCAACCTGCAAAGTTCATTAGAAACATCAATCTCTCATCAAGGCAGGAAACTCTAAACGACAACGATCGAGCAAGCATTGAAGAAACAAAAAAGCTTGGATCAATCGATCAAGCATTTGGAAGAACAGAAAAAACTTGGATCAATCGAGCAAGCATTTGGAAGAACCATAAAAACTTGGAAGAAGTACCTTCTTTGATCCGTGCTCCTTAAGCCACTTCACTGACGCAGCCACGTCTTTCACAGCCCCAGGCCAGTCCAGCGATTCCATAAGATGCTGTGCTTCGGCAGCGTCCAATCCAATCTTGCCACGAAACAAGCTACGAGGCAAAAGAAAGAGGAAAAAGTCCAACAAACGGGCATTGAATGGAGCGCTTACTCTGGTATGAGCGATCGAAATCCCTTGCTAGCGATCGTTTGCGCGTGATTTTTGACCTCATAATCGACACCCCACCACTCCTGGAGCACAACCACGCCCGGCGCGCCTTCTTCCCCCACAATGTATGCATCAAACGTCTGGAATTCGAGCGAGATTTCATCGATCCAAGAAGCAAATGGGAAAATACTCACAAAGTCGTCGCCGTTGCCGCGATGGATCTGCACTTTCTGGAATGCGGAGCTCGCCATTGCTCGGAATCGCGGCCTCAGCGATGGAATGGAACGAATCCTCGCGGCAGCGCTCCCCACTGCTCTCCAGCTACGCAAATAAGCCACGCTCATGATGAAGAGCCCTAGATACTTGGCAACTGAGTTCTTGCTAATGTGTCGTATAAATCTGTGTGAAAAGTTTACACAAGTGGTTTCATGGTGTAGTTGGTCATCACGTCAGTCTAACACACTGAAGGTCTCCAGTTCGAACCTGGATGAAGCCACAGATAGTTTTTTTATATATATATATATATTTTTTCTTTTCACGACCATTTTTTTTGACCATGAAGCTTACCAGCTCGTCAAACACAACGGCTGTGATTAGGCCATTGTCCCACTACAAAGGCGCTCAAGGCGCCACTGGCCTCGCCCTAGGTAGCGCGCGCGCGATCGATCGAGAGGTGAGATGGCGCCAGATTGGAGTTCTTGGCCATGGCGCCTGACGAAATCTCTTGTTTTCCAGGAATCTAGAGCGCCATGGCGACAATGCAGCACACCCGTCTCCATAGATTTTCAAGCCCTTGCAGCAGCTCGGATTCCAGCCCCGCCGTCGCGTCCAAGCTCTGGATCAGGGGACGATCCGTTCCCTCCGGAGTGAAAATCACCTCTAGGTTCGTGATTTCTTTTACTTGTCTCTGGATCGAAGAAAGCTTGAGCGTGTGCTCCAGCTCGTCGCGATGGAGTTCGAGGATTACGGCGGTTTTGAGCCAGAAGGAACCAGTTGCACAGGAAAATGGAGCTGTGGAATTGGATACTTCTCTAAGTCCGAGAGTAGCAGCGCTTCGTCCATCCAAGACGATGGCTATCTCCGATCAGGCCACGGCTTTGGTCCAAGCTGGTGTGCCGATCGTGAGACTGGCCGCTGGAGAGCCCGACTTTGACACGCCGGAAGTCATTGCCGAGGTACGTGTTTTGTTTGATCAGCACCTCATGGAAAGCTCACTCTTGCTTCCTAACAGGCAGGAAGGAAGGCAATTCAAGAAGGCTTTACGCGCTATACTCCCAATGCGGGAACTATGGAGCTACGATCAGCCATTGTACACAAGCTCCAAGGTGAGTGATGTTTTCCGAAAGCTTTTGTAAGACTTCGTATTTCTCCAGAGGAAAATGGGCTCACGTACAAAACGGACGAGATCCTTGTGAGCAATGGAGCGAAACAATGTATCACGCAAGCTGTTCTTTCCGTTTGCTCGCCTGGTGATGAGGTATGTTGAGAACTTTAGAATGGTTGTTTTATGAGCTTTGTTTCAGGTGATTATTCCTGCTCCATACTGGGTGAGTTATCCGGAGATGGCTCGTCTAGCAGATGCCAAGCCTGTGGTTGTCCAGACATCCTTAACTGACGATTTCCTTCTAACACCGGATGCTCTATCAGCCGTTCTAACTGAAAAATCAAGGCTGCTTATTCTGTGCTCGCCTTCGAATCCAACAGGATCCGTCTACTCTCAGCAAATGCTGGATGCAATAGCGAAGATTGTTGCAAAGCATCCGCGGTTGCTGGTAAGTTAATGCTTCTCGAAGATATATCATAACGTTGAGTTACTTGTTCCAGGTTTTGTCAGACGAAATTTACGAGCACATTATTTACTCTCCAGCTAAACATACAAGTTTTGCAGCTTTGCCAGGAATGTGGGAGCGAACTCTTACTGTCAACGGATTTTCCAAGGTACGACTCTCTATACCTGTGTATTTTTATCTCAGCATGAGAATTTGTTTTATAGGCCTTTGCAATGACCGGGTGGAGGCTCGGCTATCTAGCTGCTCCAAAGAGATTTGTTACTGCTTGTAACAAGGTCCAGAGCCAGGTACTCAAAACTCTCTTGTTTGCTCTGATTCATTCTCTAGTTTGCCACAGTTAACATCTGGAGCGAGCAGTATTTCCCAGAAAGCTGGAGTTGCAGCAATGGGCCTGGGCTTCGCTGGTGGCGAAGCTGTCGCAAAGATGGTTGAAGCTTTCCAAGAGCGAAGGGACTTCATGGTCAGGAGGTTGAAATCTCTAAAAGGGGTGAAACTCTCAGTTCCTCAGGTACAACAAGTTTAGATTTGCCTAGAGATTCTCAGGCCTTTTTTCTTCAGGGAGCTTTCTACCTCTTTCCCGATTTCAGTGCCTACTACGGCAGCGAAGCTCAAGGATTTGGCACAATCCTTGACTCGGAATCACTTTGTAAGTTCTTCCTGGAGAAAGCTCAGGTCGCTTTAGTTCCAGGCGACGCTTTTGGCGAGCCACGCTGCGTGAGAATATCATATGCCGCGTCCATGGAGTCTTTGAAAACAGCCATGGATAGCATCGAGCAGTCCTTGACACTAATTAATATTGAATGAAGACGTCGCATTTCATCGATGCTCTATAAGTATCAATTACATGTTGAGGATTAAATTAGTCTTAATATCCGATGGCCACCAATGTCCGGATCCGGCGGCCCAAAAGTTCAGCAACTCATGCCAAAAAGATATAGGTTTATTTTGTGCTCAAACTGAGAAGCATGGGAATAGTGAGAGTTCTGAGAGATGACGGCAGTGAGATTTTCAAGATAGACACTAACTATGCATCTTATATCTTTGATTTCTTGGAGGACCATGGAATGAAGAAAAGCTCCTATGATCTTGTTAGAAAAGATGGGACACATATTACTAGGAGTTGCGACAGTGGCGATGTGTACCTAGTTCCCAAGCTGTCTCTTGCATGTCAGGCTGGAAACACAGCAGCGTGTGTGGCAGAAATCACTAGCTGTGCTAAAAAGATGGTAAGTCTGAAAAAGCTTTAATCTTTTAGTGGTTTATATGCAAAATACTGCAGGAAATCTGGTTCAAGTCTATCGCTACAAACCGTTAGGTACAAAATCGAACAAGGCTGAAACTGGCTCTTCAATCTCTTCAATACTTGTTTGGTTTTTCACTTTAAGCTGTTGTAGTGAGTTCACTTTTTATGAAATCGATATAAACCATAGAATGGAAACTTTTTGCACTTCAAGAAGGCTTTCGGACGTCGACAACGTCCAAGGTCTCCAAAGGACACTGCAAAGTCGAAAATTCCAAGCTGCCAAGCAGCGACGCTCTCGCCGAGTGTCTGTTCAAGACTCAAGCAGAGCTCCAGCTAAATAAATTTCTGTGCCCCGGGGTGAAGACATTCAGATGTAATCGATCTTCAGTTTCTGCGCAACTTCTTTTCTACAAATATAATTTTTTCTTTGACTCACGCAAGAGAAGAAACGGTGGCCAGGGATAAATCCGATGGCTGTTATTGGCCGGCCCAAGAAGGTAATTATAGATAGAGTGTAGGGTTTTATTTTTAAAGGATGGGTTTGGTGAGACTTATGAGAAATGATGGCACTGAGATTGCCAAGATGGAAGCGTATACTACATCTTGTATCATTGAATTCTTGGAGGACCATGGAATGAAGAATGTTAAAAGTTGCTATGATCTTGTTAGAAAGGATGGGACACATGTTCTTAGGGGCTGCAGCAGTGGCGATGTGTACCTAGTTCCCAAGCTGTCTCTTGCATGTCAGGCTGGAAACACAGCAGCATGTGTGGCAGAAATCACTAGCTGTGTTAAAAAGATGGTAAGTCTAAAAAAGCTTTTATCTTTTAGTGGTTTATATGCAAAACACTGCAGGAAATCTGGGTCAAGTCTATGGCTGCAAATCGTTAGAGTCCAAAATCATTTGAAGTTTGAACAAGGCTTTGGTTTTTCATTTTATCAACAAGCAAACAGTTTGATTCCATATTTTTAAAATCCTTTGCAGACAGAGAGAAATAGTTTCAGAGTATAGGAAAGAATGATCACATATAAATATTTTCACAGCCAGCACATCAACACAATATAAGCCACAGAACTGAAAAGTTTGTACACGTCAATAACGTCCCAGTTTCGCGCGACTGCAAAGTCTGAAGTTCCAGCTGCCAAGCAGCGTTGCTCGACGCCGCTGCTGCTGGAGTCGACTGCTCGAGAACCGCGGCGGGAGATTGTATCTAGAGCCAGTTCTCGTCTCTGCCGGCATAAAATTTCGGAGCTGCTCGTCGCCAGGAGGTGTCCCGTCCTCGTCAGCCGGGCGATTGAGCTTACGTACTTCTTGAGTCGCACTGGGGGAACTGATGGAGAAGAAGCAAGAGAAAATTATTTGCAGAGCACGCTCGGAAATCTATTGCGTACCACTGACTTACAAGCTCAGCTCCCCGTCGCACCGGTGGTGCCGGAGCTACCGCCGCCGTCGCCATCGCCTTCAGAAAATTCTTGGCGCCCCGGGAGAATTTAAATTCATGTCAAGATATTGATCTTCGGTTTCCCGCAATTTCTTTTCTACAAACACAGAAAGAGAAAGGAGGGGAAAAGCAGTGAAAAACATAGGGCTACGAGACGTGTAGTCATGCTTCCTCGTGGCTGGAGGAACCGGAGCTGGAGGATCCTCAGTCAGAGCTGGCGCTGCAATATTGTTACCTGGAGAAATTAGAGCTGGATTCCTCTTCTCCATCTCACTAATGGATCCAGCTTCCTCACCAGGTGAAGTGGAGAATCCTGCCCCTCGGGCGGCCAAAGTGCCCGAGGTGGCCCGCCCGAGCTTGACCAGTTTGGATCCTTGAGCAATTGCAAGTAAGATTAGTGCAATCCTTGAAAATAAACAAGAAAAAATGTTGATAAATGTTTTATTAGCAAGGAAACTAGAGGGATGGTTTAAGCATGTGTCCCCAGCCCACATATATTGTGTTTTGTATTTTTGCTTTCTTGTGTTTCTGAGAAGTAAGTGGATTTTCTAGATGAAGATTCCACTATTAATAGTTTTTGTAAATTAAATTTACCTTCTCTTAATGAGGTTTCTTGATAGGTTTGACAATACTATATTTTTTATTGCCATTTCAACTCAATATCACATTGAGGACAACTTTTTTCAATTTGTGGATATTAATTTTGATAATTATATGTATATGATAATACCTTCAATCTTTATTCCACATTTTCTTCATGCTTATTATAACTCTTTTATTCTGGGATATCATTTTGTGATTGAGAAGTTATATAAGTTTTTTTATTAGCTAAAGATATAATATGATGTTGTATAGTTGCATTTAATGCTAAGTTAATAATACTCTACCTTATGTTGTAGAAGGATGACTAGAGTCAATTACAATTTTTTATAATTTTAAGTGAATGGTGTTTGATTTGATAGAACCTTTTTACAATTGATTATTATTAATGAGTATGCCATTATTGCTTTCAATTACTTACTTAGTAAGAGGAATTTAATGTTTTTACTAGTTTATTTATAACTACTGTTAAATACTTCTTCTTTAATCAATTAATATCCACACTTTTATATTACCATCAAACTTTCAAACTTTCAATATTTAAATTAGAATGGTTAATTGCCATATCTTAAACATGTAATTTTGTTACTGCTTAATGGAGTGTGTTTACGTTAATAGAGAGCCCAAGTGGGAGGTGGAACAAGTGATTGATACTAAGATTGGGGCTACTACAGGTAAGAGAGAGTATCTAGTTCTTTGGATGGGATTTCCAGCTGCTTCTGCAACATGGGAGATATAAGAGAATCTGAAGAATGCTCTAGCAATGGTGGAAGAGTTTTGGACTAGGGCTATACGATGCCAGGCAGTCCAGTGTGTGAATCACGTCCCTCATAAGAGGAGCCCTAGCACAACTTTGGATGAAAGGTTGACCTACAAAAAAAAGAGAAAGAGAAGGTTGGTCACCCTGGCATCTTAGTGAATATAGCACTTGATTGCATCAGTGAATTCATTTTGATGATGATACCGTAGGATAGACATATGTAAATTTACTACCAAAAACCAAGATCACTTTGTGATAATTCTGTTATGCAATTTATATATTTCATAAGGACTTATGGTTGTTTTACCAAACCGTTAACAATTGTCGTCAGAGTGTCTTCACCAGCATCAATTTCCTCAAGAAGCAAAGAATCTGCATTCGGGTGCTTTTCAACTTTGACAATCCTGCCCAACTCTGATATACTCTCCTAGTATCAGCAAGATTTAGATCCCAATCCAGATCACAAAGGCGACTCTCGTATATTCTTTGAGATTACATTCCTCTCTCTTTTATCTGCTTGGGAAGATGATAAGTCTTTCCAAAATCTGAAATTATATAAAGATCAAAAAATATATGTCCGATCTGCTGGAATCGAACCAGCGGCCTAAGGATTTCTGAGAATATTACAGTCCTCCGCTCTACCAACTGAGCTAAGATCGGATGCTTGAACAAGATTCTGACAAGAAGAAACTCGTCAGTTTTTGCGTGCTATGCCTTCACCAGTGACCAAATTGTAAACAACAAGATCTTTTAAAGCGAGATCCGCTGGAATCGAACCACTGACGTAAGGTAAGTTTAATTAATTTAACAAAACGTGTTTATCAAAGAACTACCATCCCAATATAGAAACGCTTGCGCCTTTTCTATTCTTGGCAAGACGATGAGTTGCAGCTGCGGATTAAGTCGTGCTCTTGGTGTTCTTGGGCGTGGCTTCGTCTCGATCGGGAAGATCTTCCAGCGAGCTCCACCATCCGCGATCCTCAAGCGATGCCGTGGGGACGCTGCGCAGCCGCTCCTCGCGGAGCTCCACCGTGTCGATTTGCCCTTCGTGGCCTTCGGGAATCCAAGTTCCAGTCACCGGATCGGGCCTCCACCATTGCTGCTTCTTTGCAGGCCCGCGAGCATCGTCTGCCGCCCCAGCGATGAATCGTGATCTTTGGCAGACAAGCAAAAGTTCGCTAGAAATTCTAGAATTTGATCGATCTTACCGTGCGGGCGCGATCATTGCCAGTCTATGCGACACTTTGACACACTTCCCAGCCATAGAGACTAGTGGAAATAGAAGCGCCCTATTGTCACCCATTTAAACGTCAACCTTACACGTGGAAGCCTGCAATGTAAACACGTGTCAGAAATATTCGCAACGTGGCACCCCACGTGGCGAAGAATTAGGGCTCATGCCTCGCGCGCAATGGCGAGCGAGACGCTGCTCAATCGCGTTGATCCACAGCAGCAATTCGCGCAGCTCATCCGCAGGATTGGTGACTCGCGCAATCTGCCGCGAGCGAGGGAGATCCACGCGCAGCTCCTGGCCAGCGATCTCTCGGAGGACAAGTACCTCGCTAATCTCCTCATCCAGATGTATGGCAAATGCGGCAGCGTCGAGGACGCGAGAGGGGTTTTCAATCTCATCCAGGAGGAAGCAAACATCTACTCGTGGAACATGATGCTACACGCGTATGCCGAGAATGGGCATCTGGACGATGCGTGGGAGACTTTCGATCGAATGCCCACTCGCGACACAGTGTCCTGGAATGCGATGATCTCGGCGCTGGCGCATCACGGCCAGGCGATCGAGGCCAAAGCCCTCTTTGATCGGATGCCCGCCCCCAATCTTGTGTCGTGGAACGCGATGATCGCGGCATTTGGGCAGTCGGGGCTTCCCCGCGAGGCTAAGAGCGTGTTTGATCGCATGAAAGAGCCCAAGAACATCGTCTCCTGGAATTCGCTGCTCCACGCCTATGTTCTTGGCGGTGATTGCGCCGCCGCCATGGCGATCTTCGAGGCGATGCCGGAGCGAAACGTGATTTCGTGGACTTCGATCATGGTTTGCGTTGCCCAGCGAGGTGATTTGGAAGCAGCGCAGCGGATCTTCGATTCTATGCCGGAGAAATCTCTGGTAACCTGGACCGCCTTGCTCCAAGCTTACGCCCAGAATGGGGAGCTCACCGCAGCCGTCCATCTCTTCGCCATTATGCCGGAGAGGAACGACATTGCTTTTACCACGCTTCTTTCCAGTTTTGGAATCCACGGCCGAGTTAGCGACGCCCGGGATCTTTTTGACAGCATTCCGGAAAAGAATCCCTCGTCGTGGAATGCGATGCTTTACGTGTATGCCCAGAATGGGCATGTGGAGGAGGCCATTGATTTGTTCAGCAAGATTCCATATCGGAATATCATCTCCTGGACTTGCATTGTGGTAATTTTCTCTGACCTTGATGAAGTTGATCGTGCGAAAGAAGCTTTTGACAAAATGCCCCAGTGGAATCTCGTCTCCTGGACAACGATGCTTCAAGCATATGCCCTTTCAGGGTATCTGCTACAAGCCATTGAGATGTTCAAGAATATGCCGGAGCACGACGTGGTATCTTCCACCGCGGCGATCCTGGCATATTCCCAGGACGGAAGCGTGCGATCCGCCAGGCGGGTGTTCGATTCCCTTCCCGAGCGAAACATCGTGACTTGGACTGCCATGCTCGAAGCTTACGTCGCAAACGATCTAATGGACGAGGCCGAGGAGACCTTCCACTCCATGCCGGAGATGAGCATCACTCCCGTCACGACCATGATCGCTTTCTTCGCTCGCAAAGGAAAGCTCGATCGAGCCGAGGATTTGTTCGCCAATCTCCCAGTTTGCGATCTCCTTGCATGGGACGCGATGCTCACAGCCTACGTACGCGGCGGCCAAAACCACGCTGCGCTAGATCTCCTCTCGGAGATGCAAATCCTTGGAGTCGAGCCGGACGAGATCCTCTACACGAATGTTCTCACCGCCTGTAGCCAGGGAGGAATGCTCGAGGATGGAATCTACCACTTTGTGTCCATGGTTTCGGACTATGGAATCCAGGCCTCGAGCGAGCACTACTGCTGCATGGTTGATCTCATGGCCAGAGCCGGGAAGATCAAAGATGCCCAAGACTTGATTGACAACATGCCATTCACACCCAGTGAGATCGCATGGAAATCGCTGCTCAGTGCGAGCTCTAGAGAACCTTGCAAAGACGAGAAGAATGTGAGGAGCAAAGCCGCAAAGAATGTTATAGACTTGGACTCGAAAAACGTTTTGTCCGCTCCATACATTTTACTATCAAAGATCTAGATTTACAAAGAATTTAGGGCAAAATCTTCAGACTGCCACGTCACACACTTCTTTTTAGGGTTTTTGCGGGGGAATCGATGAAGAGGAAGAAGATCCGGAGTGGATGGCAGAAGGTCGTGATCCAGGCGGCATTGAGATGGTTGTGTCCAGCTCTCGCAATGGCGGCGCTTCTCGTCCTCATCGCGGAACTGCGAGTTTGGCCGGATGAGAGCGGCGTCCGAGGGGAGGTAGGCGCGCGTGAGATTTTCTTCTTTCTTGCGGTGTAATTCTGTGAATTGGAAGGAAAGAAGGCCCGGATCAAAGTGGAGAATGCGAATCCAGAGATTACTGCGACAGGGAGGAAGGAATCGAATCTCGGTAGCCTGGCAATGCCGATGAGGAGAGCGAAAGGACACAGTGAACGTAAGCGTTTTCCTTTTATGTAAGGCAGTAACGCGCAGTGTTTTTTTTTTTTCCTCTTATGCTTCTTCCAGCATGTTTGAAGCTCCCAAGCGATGAGGTGATTGAAAAGCTTGAATTCCCATCGAGACTTCCTAGTCCGCTGGGAGATCTTCGCTTTGCCAAGCAGTCGGGAAGTGGTGTGGAAGCAAACACGAACAGATTTGTGGGATCTCAGACCATGGCTGAGAGAAATAGCTCGTTCCAGGTGAGAACGTTAATAGCTATGCTTCTACACTAAATGTTTTTTTCTTTACTTGCTAGATTCGCGAGAATATGGAGGTGCATTGTGGTTTCTACGGTGAAGACCCTGGTTTTGACATTGACGAAGTCGACACAGCTTTTCTAAAAACTTGCAAGGCTGTTGTGACGACTTGCAACTTCGGCGGAGGAGATGATATCTATCAGCCGATTGGCATGTCAGATGCTTCTCTAGCAAAGGTCTGGCTCATCGATTTCTCTCCTGTTAATCTTCGTTTCTCACAAGAACTTTTCAGGTGTGTTATGTTGCGTTTTGGGACGAGGTGACCCTTTCGCAAATGCCAGAGGATAAAAGACCATCTCCCGACACTCGCATGGCTGGTTTGTGGAGAGTAGTCGTCGTTCGAAACCTTCCTTTCAACGACCAGCGTCGAAACGGGAAAATTCCAAAGGTATTTCGTCCTTATAAAACCTTCTCGCTCATTGCTTTCCGAGTTGGTGCAGTTGCTGGGACACAGACTATTTCCAAACGTAAGATACTCAATCTGGGTGGACTCCAAGTACCAGTTCCGTCGTGATCCCATGGCAGTTTTCCATGCCCTGCTGTGGAGTCCCCAGGCAGCGCTGGGTATTTCAGAGCACGGAGCTCGACGGTGCGTTTATCGTGAAGGCAAAGCCGTGGTGGCCAAGAACAAAGCTTTGCCAGCCGAGGTGGACTTGCAACTCAGCCAGTACCAGGCGGAAGGATTTCCAGAAAACGCAACTTTCAATGGGCACAAAGGTACTGAACTATTCTTCAATGATTTTTTCGTATCTAAAAACATGTCTCATGTTTTGTTTTGTTTTTTTTGTTTTTTGTTTTCCAGCATTGGCTGAAGCATCAGTGATTGTAAGAGAACACACTCCAGTGACCAACCTGTTTATGTGCCTGTGGTTTAACGAGGTGGTCCGCTACACTGCGAGGGACCAGCTGAGCTTTCCTTACGTTCTCCGACGCTTTGGGCTGCTCCAGCTCAACATGTTCCCCGTTTGCACACGCAAAGCGCTTGTGAATAGCATCGGCCACAGACAAAAGGCAAAACCACTCGAGAGAATTCCCACCGAGTAGGCAATCAGGTTAGTGCCTTCCACGTTTTAATATTTCTCCACCTTTCTCTTTTGTTTCTTCTGATATTATTTGGATTCCCTCTTCTGACTTAGATCTTGTTGCAGTCACATTTTTTTCTCGGTTCCGAAAGACGACGCCGTCTAGCAGCTGGATTTTGCGCGTACGACCCGAACGACCGCATTCACGGCACCTTGACACGGTCCTCGAGCTCAACTCAACTTCCGGGTATAAAAACCGAAGCAGGCTTTTCCCGGAGATCATCGCCACCACCACCACCACCGTCAACTTTAGCTCGATCGCCATGGGTGTTCCCGAGGATCAACGAAAAGCCGCCGAAGTTTACACTGGCCAGGCCGTCTTCTCCAAGAAGTCCATGGAGCTCATGGACGAGTTTGGACTTCCATCCGGACTGCTGCCTCTCACAGGCGTGGAAGAATGCGGGATCGTGAGAGCGACGGGCTTCATCTGGATCGTCCTCAAGAAGGAGATGGAACACTACTTCAAGCTGGCGGGGCGCAAAGTCTCGTTTGGGACGGAGATCACGGCCGTGGCTGCCAGCGGCCAGCTCAAGAACATAACCGGGATCAAGGCCCGCGAGATGATGCTGTGGGTGGAGGTGAAAGCCATGGAAGTCGAGCAGCGCAAGATCCGGTTTAGAGCTCTCGCTGGGATCACTCGCTCGTTCCCGGTGGATTGCTTCGCTGCGGTATGAAGGAGAGATCGATTTGTTCTATAAATTCCACTCTTTGGATCAAAGTTAAACGATTAGTTCTATATCTTTGAGTCGGAATTATAGACGATTGTAGTTAGATTTTCTTAGTTCTTTGTAAGATGTTTCAATTTTTCGGTTCGATATCTCTCGCTCTCAAACTTAAAAAGACCGCGTCAACTTTTTCCACGAGAAATACATTATTTGTTTTGTTTCTCGTTATACGGGCTGCGTGGTTCGCCACCTAACGAGAGTAAATTCTGCTGACACGCGCGCCCGTACGCTCCACCACTTGTGGACCCCTGGCCCATCCCGCCTCTGTATAAAACGTACAATCCCTACCTCCTCTTCCCTGTGTATCTTGTCTATAGCCATAGCTAGAGCTCCGTGAGAGAAGAGCACTCCAGAAGAGGGAAAGAGAGCTCTCGAGCTTCCACAGCCATGGTGGTCACCGAGGAGCAGAAGAAGGGCGGCGAGATGTACCAGGGGCACGAAGTTTGCCTGCCCAAGGCGGTGGAATTGCTCCAGCAGTTTGGATTGCCTGGAGGGCTCTTGCCCCTTGAGGATGTCGAGGAATGCGGCGTGGTGCACGACACCGGCTTCGTCTGGATCCTCTCCAAGAAGAAAGTGGACCACTACTTCAAGCTCGCCAAGCGCAAGGTGTGCTACGGCACCGAGATCACGGCTCACATCGTCAAGAACAAGCTGGAGCAGCTGCGCGGTGTCAAGGCCAGAGAGCTGCTGCTGTGGGTGGACGTGAACGAGATCGAGGTGGACCAGCGCGACTCGGGTAAGATCCACTTCCGCGGCCTGGCCGGGATCACGCGGACTTTCCCGGTGGAGTGCTTCGCTCCAGGCGAGTGATGGAAGGAGCTCTCTTTTAAACCGGGAAGAGGGGGGGATCTGGAAAGTTGAGCTATCGGTTAGTTCCATCTTTGAGTTCCTAGAGTAGTAAAACTTCCCTGGTGTTGTTAGTTTGCAAAGAAAGCACAAACTTTAAATCGAACAATTGTTCTAGCAAGTGTTCTCGCCGTTGTTTCTGCCTTCTCACGGCTATCTACAAGGTTCTGTTTGTTATTTGGGTGATTGATCCTGGAAGTTAACGCATCAGTGCCGAGAAGGAAAAAAATGAAAACAAAACCATACCAGTGTTTACAAACTCGAGGAGAGTGAAAGCTTTGTCAGCTCGGTGGTGAGTGGTGAAACTTTGCTTTGTCGAAGAGCAGACGAATGGGAGATTTCGGTGTCTTTGGAGGCGTCGTCCTCGGCGAGGTCTTGTTCTTCGCAGACTGCTTCGTAGCCTGGAACAAAAAATGATAAGAATGAAGAACAGAGGAAAAATGGTCAGAGCAAGTTACAGAAGTGATGAGTTTGTCGAACGCGTTTGGCCCATACTCCGAGATGTACTGAGCTACGGCTACTCGGGCGTCGGAGCTCATCATGCGAAGCAACTTCTTTTGCTTCTCGTTGTAGTCATACGTGTGTTCGTCGTCCAGGTGATCCTTTTGGGTTTGTATGTTGTATAGTCCTCTTCTAACGTAGTTCCTGTAGAGGAAGCAAGCACCGCGGAACTGTGGAAGTATGAGCCAGAAGATCAAAAGTATTTTGACCATCGGCCAGATTGGAATCCTGGAACGCAAAAGTAAAGAGATCATATAAGAAAGCCCCACAAGAAATAGAGAAAAAGAAAGAACGAACTTACATTTCTAGGACTCTGTCTGCTGCTAGCTCGAAGAGTGCTATGAAGGAATATATCACCCAGTAAGTAAGCCATTGCTCATCGTCTTCCTTGAAAGGGCTCTCAATCGCCCTGATTGATTGATACCTGGAAGAAGGAGAATGATGTTTTGGACATAGAACATTATAGAAGGAAAAGAGGAGAACTTACAATGGATAGCCGAGCATCACAGCCGGTCTGGAATCGCGCAAAATCAGCGAAAATGCTCGATAGACACGATTGAGAAGCTTACCCGAGATAAGGCAGCAAGGACTTGAGCAGCGTCAGGGTCACGCCCATCCTGGAGAAAATCTGTGAGGAATCGCTCTGACGAGCACTCGCGGCTCCAAAATCCACGAATTCATACCTCGAAACCCCTGGAAATCGACGAGCTCCTTCGCATCAACGTCGCTGTCTCGTCTAGGGCAGCATTTGTTTTTATGCGAGCTATGCTTGTGCTTGCAGGATAGCATATTCCAGGACTGCAAGAAAAGCTATCCAACGGTATTGGAGCTGATAGAAAACTTCAACGGGCAGATCCCTGCCACGTCACCCACCCAAGAGCCCTAAGGTTTTAGGGTTCTTCATCCACTCGAATTTTCGTTTTGATTTATTTGTGGCGATGCGGTGCTGGCGATGAATCTCTCGGGGATCTCGTTCGTCTACTTGCGATTCTCGCCGCTGGTCTCATCGCTACAGCCACTCCATGGCGCCTTAGGTAGTTTGCTTTCGATTCATTCTAAATTCTTGAAGGAGAGCTTGGCTTGCAGGGCGTCGGTAGCCTTAGCCGCGAGTAGCTATTACAGTAAAGAGATCGGCGTAGTCTTAGATCCCTGGCATTGCTACAGGAGGCCCGTAAGTGGCGATTCACAGGAAGCTGGAGAGATCAAAGTCTCGCCAAGTAAGAAATCGAGGGGCGAGAAGTCTATAGCTGTTACAAGCGACACTCACATTGCTAAATCCAGCTCAAAGAAGGCTGGGATCAAGAAGGAAACTAAGGAGCTTTCATCTTCTTCATCCTCAGCCAAGTGTAAGAAGAAGAAAATCGAGATCGAGGCAGCCGAAGTGAAGTCCGAAACGATCAATCCTCTGGAAGGTAAGCTGCAAACTCTGGTCGTGCCTGAAAGCGTCCTTTGGCTGAAGCCGCTGCCTGTGAAGATCGAGATCCAGAAGGCAAAAGTTGGCCGAAGGAAAGAGAAGAATTCGTGAAGTCATGCCGATAGCCAGTGAGGTTTTGGAGGGTGACCTGCCGCTGAGGGTCAATTATCTTCAGCTGGAAACCAAGAAGAGAGCTGCGACAGACAACACGAATCACGAGAGCAAGCGATGCGTCCAAAAGAAGAAGAAGTTTACGCCCGACTCGGAGCTGAGGTTCAAGCTGGAGAGCTGCTCGAAAGTGGGGGACGTGACTGGAGCTTTAGACATTTACGACTCCAGCAAGGATCAAGGTGTGAAGCTGAGCCAGTATCACTACAACGTTCTCTTGTACCTGTGCTCGTCGGCTGCATTGGGAGTGATCGTTCCGGGGAAAGGCAGCAGGCATCAGAAAAGTTCTTCGGAGGTGGCAGCCACCGTAGAAGACGAGGGGATTTTGTTCCGGGGAAACATGACCGCTTTGGTGCCACGAAACACCACGGGCTTGTCGCAAGAAGTGATGAAGCTGGCACTGGATAGGGGCCTGGAGATTTACGAGCGGATGAAACTCGAAGGTATCTCGGCGAACGAGGCGGCCTTCACGTCCATTGCAAGGCTCGCTGTTGCTAAACGGGATGGCGACTTGGCCTTTTCGCTTGTGAAAGAGATGACAACGTCCGGGATCACTCCCAAGCTGAGGTCTTACGGTCCAGCGCTCTACACTTACTTCAAGTCCAACCGGGTTGACAAGGCGTTTGAGGTTGACGATCATATGCGCTCCTTCGGTGTCCAGCCAGAGGAGATGGAGCTCCAAATTTTACTAGAGCTGAGCTTGAAGGCGGGACAGGAGCAAAGAGTGTACTCGGTGCTACACAGGTTGAGGCGCTCAGTGCGAGAAGTTTCTCCATCCACGGCTACTACTATTGAGAGATGGTTTTCAAGCGACGCTGCTTCGTCCAGTGGGAGTGACAAGAAGTATGACGACGAGGACGTTAGAAGAGCTCTGGCAGCACAAGGTGGTGGTGGTCTCGAACTCGGCTGGATCGGCTCCGGGAGATGGAGTGTAAAGCGCACAGCTTTGGACGCGAGCGGAGTATGCGAAAGCTGCAGGCACAAGATGGCCGCTGTCGATCTTAACGCAGAAGAAACGAACAGGTTTGCGGAGAATCTGGCTGCTCTGGCTTGTGAGAAAGAACGCGACGCAAATTCTTTCAAGGAGTTCCAGGTAAAAAGACTTTCTTCTTGTTAGCCATTAACTTGTAGCATAACGCAGGAGTGGATGGCCGAGCATGGACCATTTGATGCCATAGTGGATGGCGCAAACGTTGCCTTGTTCAATCAGAACTTCAGTGCTGGAGGATTCAGTTTCTCACAGGTAACTGTGTTAGATGTTCTTCCGCTGATCTCCTCCCTACTTTGTTTTGTTCTCGCAGTTGAATTCCGTCGTGACCGAGCTATCAAATCAGCATGGGAAGTCACCCTTGGTGATCTTGCATAAAAGGCGCGTCACTGGAGGGCCAGCAGCTTCTCCCCAATCTCAGGAACTATTGAAGCAGTGGACTGCAGCGAATGCTCTGTATACCGCTGCGACGGGATCAAACGACGACTGGTTAGTCTTTTTTTCTGGAGAAAACTAGAGAAGAGATCGTCTTGCCTTACACTCTTATCACTCTCCAGGTATTGGCTTTACGCCGCCGTGACGTGCAAGTGTTTGCTGGTTAGCAACGACGAGATGAGAGACCATCTCTTTCAGATGCTTGGGAACGATCTATTTCCTCGGTGGAAGGAGCGACATCAGGTAAAACTCCGAGCTTTAAGTTAGTAGAAGTTCATGTTTCTCGCAGGCTCGCTTTGGGTTCTCGAATAGCAACCCGTTTTTCGACATGCCGCCCCCATATTCTACGGTGATCCAGGTTGTTCTCTCGGATTTTTCTCTCTTTTTCTACGCGCTCACTGAGTTCTTGCTCCAGGAATGCGAGAATGGTTCTTGGCATTTCCCGATTAGCAGAGGCAACGATGAAGATGATGAAGCCGAGGAGCCGCACAAGCAGCCGCGATCTTGGCTTTGCATCAGACGCGACGAGGAAACAAAGTAATTGAATGAGACGAAGGAAAAAAATGTGTTAAAAAGAAGAGGTTTTTTAGGGCTCTTCCCTGTCAATGGTGAAAATCGCCAGGAGCTCAATCGAACAGAGCTTGAGGGCGTGCGTAGATCTGATCGAAGGGCAACGCCTCCATGGCCGGGTCCGCTCCGATTTCCGCGACGACACCTTCCTCGCCAATCTGCTCGTCCAAATGTATGGGCGATGCGGTAGCGTCAAAGACGCGCGCGCGGCATTCAAGCAGATCGAGCACCGCGACCAATTCTCGTGGAATCTCATGCTTGGCGCTTACGTCCAGAACGGCTGCGTCGCCGACGCCAAGAAGATGTTCGATCGGATGAAGCGGCGAGACATCGTCTCGTGGACGACGGTCATGGCGGCATTTGCCCAATGCGGGCAATTGCAAGAGGCCGAGCGAATGCTCCACCGGATGCCAAACCTTAGCGCCGTGTCGTGGAATTCGATCATCGCTGGCTACGCGCAAGCTGGAAACGCGCGATCAGCGAAGGCGTTGTTCGATCAAATGCCCGTGGTGGATGAGATCTCTTGGGCAACGCTCATCGCGGCAAATGCCCAAAGGGGGCATTCTTCCCAGGCCAAGGAAGTCTTTGATGAGATGCCCTCTCGCAATGTATTTGCCTGGACGGCGCTCATCCAAGCGCTCGCGGAGGACGGCTATGGCGGCGACGCGATGCGCGCGTTCGAGGCGATGCCGGGCAGGAACTCCGTGGCGTGCAATGCGATGATGCGCGCGCTGGCCGAGGCCGGCGATCCGGACGGAGCCAAGAGGGTCTTTGATGACAACCTGGATCGCAGCGTGGTGTCGTGGACGTCGCTCTTCCAGGGATTGCTCTCCGGGCAGCGGCCGCTCGAGGAGGCCGAGGAGATCTTCGGCCGCTGCCCCGCCAGGGACGCCGTGCTCTGGAATTCGATGCTCGCGGCCCACGCCGCCAGGCCGCAATCGATCGCTGCGGCAAAAGCCCTCTTTCGCCGGATGCCTGGGAAGAACGTCGTGTCCTGGACGACGATGATCTCCGCCTACGTCGCTGCTGGAGACCTCCGCCGCGCCGATCGCGTCTTCTCGCGGATGCCCTGGCACGACGCCGTGGTCTGGAACGCGATGATCGCCGGTTATGCGAGCAAGGCCAAGGTGGATCGCGCCGAGGAGCTCTTCGCTCGAATGCCCGGGTGGAATCCCACGTCGTGGTATCTCATGATCGCGGCGTATGCGCACAATGGCCACTGCTCCAGCGCGATCGAGCTCTTCCGGCTCATGAATCTGGTTGGGACGAACGCCGCCAGCGAGTTCTTGTTCGTGAGCTTGCTGGGGGCTTGCAGCCACAAGGGGACGATCGAGGAGGGGTGGGGGATCTTCCGGGAGATGGTGGGCGATTTTGGAGTGGTGGCGATCAAGGAGCACTACTGCGCGATGATCGATGTGCTGGGGCGGGCGGGGAAGCTGCGCGAGGCGGAGGAGCTGGCGGAGACGATGCCTTTCCTGGCGGACGAGGCGGCGTGGGGGAGCTTGCTCGCGGCGTGTAAGGCGGTGGAGAGCGAGTATGGCGTGGAGGTGGCGAGGAGAGCTGCCGCCAAGGTTATGGAGCTCAGCACCGAGAAGGCGTCGCCATATCTCGCGCTGGCGAGTGTCTACGTTGGGATCGACAAGGGGGGTGGCAAAGCTGTGGAGAGTTCTTCGATGGATTCTTCTTCCAAGGCTGTGGTAGCAGGGGAGAGTTCTTCCGGATCGATTGAGGAGGATTTGATGGAGAGCTCTTTGATGGATTCTTCTTCTAAGGGAGTGGTAGCATGGGAGAGTTCTTCCAGATCGATTGAGGAGGCTTTGATGGCGAATGGAGAAGATGGTGGATTGAAAGCAAGCAGTGATGGGGAGGACGATGGAGAAGATGGCGACAAGAGGGATGACAATTCTGTAGAGAGTTCTTCGATAGCAGGGGAAAGTTCTTCCAGATCGATTGATTTGATGGCGAAGTCCTCTAGTGGAGAAGGAGAAGACGATGGTGGATTGAGAGCAAGCAGTGATGGGGGGGAGGACGGAGAAGATGGAGCTCCTGCAACGCTTGGAGGAGATGATTGTGGATCGTCGTCTCGAGCAGTAGCGAGTGAGGAAAGTTTTGTAGGCAAGGATGGATCTAACGCATCTTCGCAAACTTCTTCTTCTAGACGACGAGAAACTATTGCTATTGTCGAAGATGGTGGAAAAGCTAGAACTCGAGGCAGGAAAAGGAGAAAAACGTTGTAACAGCGCATTTTTTTGTTCCTAGCTCTCTTTCGCGGGTCTTTTGAAGATAACATGTCAGCCCTATCTTTATTATCTTACAATTAATCATAATTATTTGATTAGTAACATGATTAACCTAAACTGCCAAAACGATTGTCATGTGAACCAAGAGTTTTGATATTATAGAGCAAAGAAGGCTGCCAGGGGACTAAACAAGCTGGACGTTGACAAGATCAATATATTTTTCTTGATCTTCCTCGTCCAAGAGCTTCTTCCACTCCCCGTCACTCCATTCCATGAGTTTATACCACTTTGTTGGCTTGAGCAACGCTATATAAACCTTGTCATTCCTAGCCTTGATGCTAAACTTCACCGTAGTTGGATCAAAAACTTCTGGATCATCGATTCCCCTCAAGCATGCAACCTCCTTGAAATTACCCTCCACTACTTTCAAAAGCCTGAGGAGCCCGTGCGTGGGATCATATCGAGCAACTAAGAAACCATCCTGCCACTTCTCAAGCCTGATGTCTATGGGTCTACACTCCCCAGTGACAGCACGGCCAAGCTTTACAATGATCTTGTAATTTTCATCTTCTTGCTCGTCGTACTTGACCACCCGATTAGCTTTCAACCCATACCATTCACCCGCATGCGTAATCAGGCTGTTCACATAATACTCTACCGTGCCATCAATTTCCTCCCATCCATTCCTGCTTGAGTTGAAGACCGACAAAAAGTGCCATGGTGAAAATCCAATAAAAGAGATCATAGGTACAAGAAGCTGGTATCGTCGTGTGTCACTCTTGTCGAGCACTATGGCCATTCCACCCTGGGCAACAGTTCCGTAGGATTCAAAACTAGGCAAAACCTTCACCTGTCTGCTGAAAAGATCGCACACAAATACTGTCCATACTGCACTGAACTGCTGCCAACTTGCAAATAAGAAGCAGGCAAGGTTACTCTCGTGATCGTAGGCCATACAACTTTCATAGGTGAGAGGACCAAAACCTTGCTTGACATTTTGCCTGGACACAAAGTCCATCAAAAAGTCCAACGGCATCCTCTTGAATGATAATTCCCCATCACGACTTCTTGGAAGAACAAGGGAAAGCTGGATCAAATTCTTAACCTCGAGCTCCTCCTGACTAAAAGTTGCACTTGACTGGACTTGCCAACAACAGGAGCTTAGAACTCTACGCACAGACGCTGCCCACTCCTTAGAAACCAATCTCACACTTCCCAAATCCTCTATCGGAAGCATCTCTAAAATATCCCTGAGGAATAGCCTAAAAACTTCTTCCCACATCGCTTCCATCGTTCTCTACCTAGGCCTCAGGGCAAATTAACTTATAATAATAGACGCGTAAGAACGTATGGATCTAACGCATCTTTGCAAAGTTCTTCTAGGCGACGAGAAATTGTCGAAGATGGTGGAAAAACTAGAACTCGAGGCACAGAGAAAAACGTTGTAACAGAGCATTTTCTTTTGTTCTTGGCAAGATCTCGTGAAGTTGAAAGTAGGGTTCTTTCAGCGCATTGTTTGCGTGGATGGCCTGTCCGTAGGCATCCACCAGGTTGGATCGTTTGGAATTTTCTCCTTGTTGGGGGGAATCACTTGCCCTTTGTATGTGGAGGCAACGTAGCCCTCTGGAACCCAAAATCCCGTCTTTGGGTCCCTGATCCACCAGCTCTCTTTGGCGTGTGGGATTTTCTTCTTCTTCATCTCTTCCTCATTGGGTCCAATAATCGTGCGTTTCTCCTGTGGATTTCTAGCCGATTTTTTCTTTCCCTTGCTCGATGGCGGGGATCTCGATCGAGACTTGCCTTTCTTTCCGCCGCTCTTGGTGGCTAAATCCCTGCCGCTCCTGCTGGTTGGATCGCAAATTCGGAGAGCCTTTCGTTCGTCATCTCGCGTGAATGGAATTTCTCGCTCTATATGCTACTGACCTCGAATAACAGCAATCGTCCCATCTCGCGCAGCTCGGGCCCATGAAATCCCATGGCGAGAAGCGTTGCAACACATTCCTGCGAAGGGATCGCTCGAAATTTCTGGCCACAGCCCCGGATTGCCCTGCCATCGATCACCACGGCCCCAAAACAATTCGAATGGGGTTCGCGCCAAAGGGTATAACACGTCAGCCCTATCTCTAAAATGTGATAATTATTACCATAATATTTTATTTAAGTTTTATTAGCTGGAATAGCTCAGATGGTCAGAGCGTGTGGCTGTTAACCACAAGGTCGGAGGTTCGATCCCTCTTTCCAGCGTGAATTATGAAAAGTAATATTAAAAATTTTACCTATAATTTTTACCATAATTATGTGATTGGATTTTATAAGCTGGAATAGCTCAGATGGTCAGAGCGTGTGGCTGTTAACCACAAGGTCGAAGGTTCGATCCCTCCTTCCAGCGTAAATTAAATTGAATATGGTAAATTACAATTACAATTATTACCATAAATATGTCATTAGATTTATAAGCTGTTAACCACAATGTCGGAGGTTCGATCGCTTTTTCCAGCGCAATTTTACTCTTTCAATCTTGGCGCAGCCCTAGGCAAGAAAGAAGCAATGCGCGGTAAGCATCGATCCATTCCAACTTGCCCTGGCGATTCGAGCCATGGCAAGGGCCGCGGGGCAGCAGCACAAAGATCTCTCTCCCCAATGCGCGGTAAGCATGGATCCATTCCAAGCCATGGCAAGGCAACAGCAGCACAAAGACCTCTCTCCCCTGCTCGACGCGCTCAAATCGTGCAGCGCTGCCAGAGATCTCGAGAAGGGCAAGGCCGTCCACGCCGCCGCGATCCAGAGCAGTGACGACTCCAACATCTACGTCGCAAACAGCCTCGTCGCGATGTACTCCAAGTGTGGAAGCCTCGCCGATGCAAAGAGCGTCTTTGAAAGGATCTCTTCGCGCACAGTCGCCTCCTGGAACGCGCTGATGCTTGGATACGTGGAAAACGGGCATGGAGAGCTCGCACTCGAGCTCCTCTCGCGGATGACCCACGCTCCAAACGCTCGAAGCTTTGCTATTGCAGTGAGGGCGTGCGGAATCCTGGCTGGGAGCGACGAAGAGAAGCTCGAGAGGCTCCTGGATTTGCACTCCCGAGCGGAAAAATGTGGCCTTGACTCGGATATCTTTGTGGCGACGAGCTTGGTCGATGCTTATGTGAAGTGTCGGAGGCTCCAGAGTTCTTGCAAGGCTTTCCAGAGGAGTTTGAGGCGAGACGTGGTGCTGTGGACGGCACTGATCCTCGGATGTGTGGAGAACCACGAACACGATTTGGCTCTCGAGTTTTTCTCGTCCATGATGGCCGAAGGATGCAAGCCAAATGCTCGGACTTTTGTTGCTGCTGTCAAGGCTTGCAGTGGTTTGGCCGAGAAAGAAGGTGGCAAGGTTTTGGATGGGAGGCTTGTCAAGATGGAGGCTCTGGAAAAAGGAGTTTTTCTCCAGGCTTTGGCTGCAAAGAATGGTTTTGATACCGATGCTTTCCTGGCGAGCACTCTGATCGACATGTTTGCAAAGTGTGGGAGCATGGTTGATGCTCGGAGGATTTTTGATGGATCGGCTCGCGGCAAAGACGTGGTTTTGTGGAACGCTTTGATGCTGGGATGCGCGGAGAATGGCGAGGAAGAAGCTGCTCTGGAGGTTTTCTACGACATGGTTGAGTTCTGTGAGCCGAATCAGCGGAGTTTTGTGGCTCTTTTCAAGGCTTGCTCGGGCTTGGCGGCCAGAGAAGCTGGACGAGATGCGGGAAAGAAGCTTGTGTGGCTTGAGAAAGCCATGGCTTTTCACTCCCGAGCGGCACAAAACGGATTTTCGGCTGAGATGTTCGTCGCCAACAGCCTTGTCGATTTGTATGCAAAGTGTGGGAGCATGGCGGACGCAAGGAGAGTTTTTGATGGGATGGAATCGTATGATTTCGTCGCATGGAACACTCTCCTTGTTAACTACGTGGAAGACGGACAAGAACTTTTAGCTCTCGAGCTTTTCTCTGGGATAGAATCCCAGCTCCAAAGCTCCGGAGTGTTTGTCACTGCTCTCAAGGCCTGTGCTCGGTACGCAGCGAAAGAACAGGGAAAACAGATCGATGGCAAAGTTCTAAAGCTCGAGTCCTTGGAGAAAGGCATGGCTCTTCACTCGCAAGCTTTGAAGAGTGGCCTCGATCACGACGTTCACGTCTCAAGCTCGCTGGTGGACATGTACGCAAGCTGCGGGAGCTGCGACGACGCTCGGAAAGCTTTCGACGGGATGAAACATCACGACGTGGTGTCGTGGAGCACGCTGATCGACTGCTTCGCCGAGAACGGCCAAGGCAAGATCGCTCTCGGGCTGTTCTCTTCGATGCTCTGTGCGGGATTCTCACCCAACTCCCTGACTTACGTCGCAGCTCTCAAAGCTTGTGCGAGCCTGGTGGATTTCAAGGCCGGGAGCTCGATCCACGCTCAAGTTTGCCGAAGAGGCATCGAGGATGATCCCGTTCTAGCGACCTGTCTGGTGGATTTCTTCAGCAAATCCGGGGCCATGGACAAGGCTCAGGAGGTATTTGATTCGGTTCGCGAGAGAGATCTAGTGATCTGGACCGCTTTGATCTCAGGATACAGTCACCAGGGAGACACGAGCAAAACTTTTGCGCTTTTCGACGCCATGCAAGAACAGGGCTTACGTCCAAACGGCGTGACTTACGTGACCATCTTGACGGCGTGCAGCCACGCCGGGCTCGTGAAGAAAGGCCAGAGTTTGTTCGAGGGGATGACTCGTAAGCACGGGATCTCTGCAGAGATGGAGCACTACCTGTGCATGGTGGACATGCTGGGACGAGCGAACAAGCTGGAAGAAGCTCTGGCTATGACGAAGGAGATGCCCTTCCAAGCGACCGAGACGGTGTGGACGACGGTGCTGGGAGCTTGCAAGAAATGGGGCAATGTGGAGATTGGAAAGGCTGCGTTTCAGGCCTTTGTGGACGTGGGAGGAAGCGATGCTGCAGCGTACACGCTAATGGCGAATCTGTGGAAGAGCT